TATATGGAGAATGATCAAAATGGTTCGAACGGACGACCTCCCGCTCGAACGTAATATTAATATTACATGGGCCCTTGCATCGACGTATTGACGGGTCGCTCGGCGATCGTTAGGTCGTAGAGTAAAGTTTTTCTCATCGGCTCGAGTCATTCTTAGAATAGCCGTCCCAGATTTGTTTACGTTAGATATTTTGTCGTGTGCTGTGGTGGCGCACAGTGGCTAACACTCAACTAGCTGAACTATAGCTGCTGGTAACGTGTTATATAACAGCGAATGCAGAGCTGCCTCTGCAATCATGTGCGATAATTATTTGCTACCGATAAGTACTAAGTTAATCTGCAATTCAGCTTGAACTATTGCATCCACTGGTACCTGTAATCTACTGGTAAGTAGAGCTGTTAGTAAATTTTTCATGCACCTAGAGCTAATTGCCAGATAAATCGTGGAGAAAAAGGCAGATATACTAGGTAATCGAAATGATGGAACTCGTCGAAACGAACTTCGTCTAAACAATTTTAGCTAAAATTTCATTGTTAAAAACTAGCAAATTGATTTTAGTATATAGAAAGTGGGAGCACATGTGATGTTTTCTTTTACGTAAACTATTTAGGATATATGGTTGCTTATAATAATAATAAAAATCATAATGCATAGAAACGAATTCAAATTTAGTGGGGTAGGCATTGAACTCTTTTGTTGTTTCGTAAAAGACTGTATCACTTGCTTTATGAAATAGAATATAAGGTTTATGGTTAGTATCAAAATCATATTTCTGTTTCTGTTGCTTTCAGGCGGGAAAAAAAAGGTCAACTTTGGCTTGCCAAAATTAACTATTGTCGAGACTCCTCCTGCTGAAGAGGCTATGTAAGTACTTTAGATGGACGATACAAAAAACAGGCCCTGAAGTTGTTGTAGTAGCTGCTCAATAGTGGCTCAACGGTGACCGTTCTGTTGGCGCCTACTGAACTCGGTGTGTCTTTAGTAGCGCGTGAAAACGCCAACTATTTCGATGTTCTGCCGAATGTAATCGACTCGAGTTCACGTTTGTTGCGGTAAAACAAGATATATGCTTGATGTAGAAATGGTTTCATAATATTCATTCAAAGCATGATTTCAAATTCATTACAAAGGCAAATGTCTGAGCATACAAACTTACCAGAGAATATAAGGAGCATTGTTATGCATTTTTAATTATCGAGGCTATTAGAGGAGACAGCTACGTTTGTTCGTATATCGCAACCTTTTATTGCGACTTTCGTTCTGTTGCTGTTTGCTACAGCGCTCCTCCAAATCTTGATTCAGTAGCACGAATCCGACTCAAGGATGGCGAGGAGGTTACAGTTGAAGCAGATGAGCTTGAGGCTGTTCGAGAGCTTGGTAGAGGAGCTTACGGAGTCGTCGAGCAGATGAGACATCGACCTACCGGAACCAACATGGCTGTTAAGGTAACAGCAGTTCTATGTAAATATATGAAACATGCAAAAAGGAAGGATTTCTACAAGTCTGTGATCTTTCCTTTTCAAGTACTTTAGTATATGTTTATTTATGGTCTGTATTTACGGTCATATCTAACAAAAGGGGGCGCTTCCATATTGTATCGTTTATTTACCTATGAGTGAGATATAATAATATTAATAATAATAATAATAGTAATACGGTCACGTTAGGATACAAGCAGAGAGTAATATTATTTGTTTTATGTGCCTTCCTATTTTAAGCGGATCACTTACACCTTTGATGAAGCTGAAAAACGAGGTGCGTTGATGGACTTAAGCGTGAACATGAAAGCGCGGTCCCCATTTACAGTTCACTTCTACGGGGCATTTTTTCGTGACGGCGACATCTGGATTTGTATGGAGGTAAAAGAAAATATATAGTATATAACACGTTTATTACTTTAGTCAACACCAGAAACAAGCTGGCAAGTAACTCCATGCCGTAACTACTGAACAATTCTGGAATGACGCATCCTTGCATAGCATCGGATTTTTGTTTTGTTTTTTTTGTCATGAACATATTTTACTTACAGCTAGAATGTATATATTGTTTTGTCGTCTTAAAAGTCGTATTCATATAATTAAAAAACATAATCATTGTTTATAATGTAATATTTGCGGCTTGTAATCTTATAGGTTATGGATACTTCGCTGGACAAATTTTACCGTGCTGCCTTTGAGCACCGAAAAGGCATACCGGAACCCGTATTAGGGCGAATCGCCTATAATATTGTTGCGGCCCTTGATTACCTTAAGAGCACATGGAATATAATGCACAGGTGAAATATGAAATGAAATTTTTAGAAGTTCAAGGCTGCGCTCGTAAGAAACATGTGAAGTAAATAATAATGTTATTAATAGTATTGTTTCGCAAAGTGAACAAAAGTTGCTTGGAGATGAGACCCATAACTCTTTTTCTCAAACGCTTTTGTCTCGTAGGCTGGCCCGCAATTACCTTATTTAGTATTACTATAGTTCAATTTATATCCTAGCGAGAAGTACAAAACATCGGAGTCGAATAGACATATTATACTCAAAATCTAGAAACAAATATAATTCGCCTAGAAGACCAATTTTTCATATTAGTGAAACTATCTTTCAAGCAAACAGGAATTAAGAGCTCGTGGTCGTGAGGTCCTCTGAATAATTTTAAACGGTTTTTTCAAATGTATGTTGAACTTCCTCGGTACGCACTATACGGTTGAGTACGAAGTCACCGTATGACCTTCCTAAGAAGACTTAATAGTACAATATACGGTATGGTTTTACTCTATTTCAGGGACGTGAAACCGTCAAATGTTTTGATTAACAAGCAAGGCGATGTCAAGTTGTGTGATTTCGGTATTTCTGGGCAGATGGTTGACTCCGTTGCTGGGACAAATCTTGGCTGTAAACCATACATGCCGGTAACCCTTAGAATGCCTGTTTGTCAATATTCTATAACAATGCATTGCTACACTTTTTAATAACAGATGTATGTAGAGTTTGAAAATCTTCAAGAACTAGTCAGTTAGCCCATTTTGTTAGGGCAAACAGTGGTTAATTGTTACCGCGAAAAATGATACTTAATTTCAGCCTGAACGTATTCAAGCAGAGATTGGCGCGAAGTACGACGTTCGTTCTGATGTTTGGAGCTTCGGAATAACTATGGTATGTTGCCTTAAATGGATTCGCTAAATGAATTTTTTGCTTCAGGCGAAAATTAGCAATCAGTTAGGTTCTTGCGTGTAATTGTATCAGTCAAGTTGGGTCAGCTTTTTTTTTTATTTGAAACAATAGATTTAAAGTTATGTGCTCATTCTTTTTCCAATATGGAAATTGTGTGTTGACCTTTTTTCAGGTGGAGCTGTCCATTGGGCGATTTCCATACACTGCAACGCGAAACGTGTTTGAACAGCTAAAGCAAGTTGTACAGAACGACCCCCCTCGTCTGCCCGAAGGACAGTTTTCACCACAGTACGAGGAATTCATAGCGCTGTGGTAAGCATTACAATGTTTCCTTGCTTACGCGAAGCTGAATTAGTCAATTGTTAGGCTAATTGAGTACGTTAAGAACTTATCGCGTTTTACCTTTTACGAACTGTAATTGAATAAGAAAAAAATACTTTTTTTTTATCATAAATGTGTGAATTTTTCTAGAAGATTTATCTTCTAAGCATATTCTTAGTAATCTCGGACGTCTATCATATGTTTATTATTATTATTATTATTATATTATTATTATTAATATATTATATTATAATTATTAAACAGATCTTAATACAAGCAAAAAAGACAAAACTTAAATTTACTAAAAAGCAAATTAAAAAACAGTAAGTCGTCAGTATGATTTAGTTTTGGGCAACATACTCATTCCAATGACAAGATGCCTTAAAATGAAACATGTGCATACCTGCATCCCACATCAGTAGTTGATAGATGTAGTTCTTGTGTCGGTTGACGGTAATATCATGATTATTTTTGTGTTAATTGTTTGAAATATTTACAGTTTGCAGAAGGATCGCGATAATCGACCTCGCTATCCAGCCCTACTCGAAACCGAGTTCCTCAAGATTAACAAAAATAATGATATTTCCGATTTTGCCAATACGGTAATTTGCCTTATGGGCTGAAAACTGCTTATGTAATATTTGGCGGTGATACATTAGAAGACAGAAGTAAATTTAAGAAACGCGTCACCAGATTTCCGCGAGATCTAGCTTTACGAACAAGGCTTTGCCATCATGAATGGTCCTTTAAGCAAAGCAGGCAAGACTACAGTGTAATAGACGAGCGTACAGCCCATGAAGAATCAAGGAACATCATTTCCACCGCTGACCCCTTACATTAAAACGACAATCAACAAATCGGACTTCGGAGGGTCACACAACGTCAGACTTAGTTACTCAACTAATTAAATTAGTAGCTCTCGGCACCAGGGGAGGCAATAGAGAAATACGTAGACGTTATAGAGCAGAGAAAGGGACAACGGGCATCCCTAAGTCAGCTAAAAAGCACGCGGAGTAACTTTACCCAGAGCTAAAAAAGTTGAAGTGGCTTAATATGGACATTAGACTATTCTATTTGGTGCGATGAGCATGCAGAGTATGGTACAAGCGGGTCGACACCTAATGAATGATCACCAGGTATGAGCACTAACATCGTACCAACCCAATGATCGGTACGAATCGCACAAGTCTGCCGGTGGATACTGTAAGTAGTTACGTGTTCCGAATAAGCATCGAGAAGAATATCCTTGCATCATTCGGGGCTGCTTGGAGCAAGCGTTGCGTACGCTAAAAGCATTGTCTAGGTGAAATGATTTTATGAGATGATCAGTAAACGTGCGTTGCTTATCCCTACAACTTCCAGTAATTATAGCACTTGAAAGATATCTCTGTCTACCTTTTTGAGGTTAGCATGGAAGCTAGTTATTTTTCGAGGTGAAATCTGCTATGTAATGCGCAGCTCAGCAACGAAAACAGGGCTGGAATTATTTTTATTATAGAATTTTACTGGGATTCTGTTAATTCTCTATCCATCTCAAGTAAACTTAGTGCATTTCAATAACGATCCAGTGATGTAACATGGACATGGTATACATTACTAACCAGGCTGCGCTGAAAAGTTCTTGATTGATTTATGTATAATTTTTATTGTTTTTAGTCCACTTCCGCCAATATTGGCATTTTACTTAGTAAAACGACAGGCATGCGAGCAAATAAAATACCATGTAATGCGATCCACTGAAAAATAGTGCAAGAGTTTATATATACGTATCCAATGTAAGATTAATGAGTGTAATGATAATAATAAGATAGCAGTGGTCGGAAGATACTGGGTGGGTTGTTAGATTACGAGATATATGGCACAGAGATTACCCAGGGGCGTAGGAAATCTGTAGAGATAGCATAAATACATTCAAATAATGCGTTGATATATATATTGTTAGCTTGTGTTCGGAAGTCGCAGTTAGTGCACGTGTATGTTGAACCGCACAGTGCAAAGCGAATGAGTCTCTGATTGGGAGGCAAAAAGGGGAGAGAGTGAGATAGACTGACCAACTACGTAATGATTATTATATAAAAAATGATTAAAAACCATATTTGTTTATGATGGCAAGAAACTCTGGTATATGATGCATATTATTCTCGTGCTTGCGCCTGATCTCGCTAGAGAGGACGCAGCAGTGACCACAATACAATGCTTCGCGTCTGTTCCAAGCCACGGTAATAAAACCTTCGATAGAAGCGTTAGTAAATTTGTGTATCGGACTCTGTTGGGCTAGTGCAGTGCGGAATGTAGTACACTACCATATTCACGGTCCTTCCTACCATATGCATTATATGGTAATTCACTATCATATGCAGTCCGCAGGCACACCTGCGCAACAAAACTGATGTGACCCACTCGACGCGTACGAAGGGACTTCCTCCCCAAACAGTACCTCCGTTCGTGTCTAGTAGCTTCTTTTGGAAACGAGTGATCACTGGCATGACAGAGGTAGCTGAACATTTATTGAAATTCAGCTTTGCCATCATTGGATTACGAGCGTAGTGACACACGGCAACACTGTGAGTTTTTAACATGAGATGGGTTTGGTTGTTCGGCATGTGGATTTTTCTGGAAGACATCTTAGCGCAATAACGTACAAAAATCTACAGGCACATATTTTAGAATCGTTGGTGCAGATTACGCTTACAAGACACATCTTTTAAAATTTAATTTGAATAGAATGAATCTGGTTCAGGCCTCTTAGCATGAACATTGTAAAATTGCTCATTACCCTTGGCACTGTAGTGAAAACTTCCGTGGGGTTGAAGCTCTCTGCCAGTTAATGTTCCAAGTTTAAATGGCGAGCCTAGGTCAAAAACTGCCAAGTTAAAAAAGAAGGCTGCAGCAAATTTTATAGCAATAGGCACACTGTTAGCCAGACCAGTTATGCTATGGGATAGCTCTATAATGCAATATTATTGACGTGAAACGAATTTAGATAAGTTAAGTGGATGCTAGCACGATCAGTACAAATGAAAGCAATAATAGCAACGGATTTGTAATGTCCTACTATAGAGTAATGGATACTAGAGCGCTGTGATTTTTGATAATGTTTGCGCTCCTCTGGGTGAATTTGTTTCAGTATGTATATGTGCGCCTCTGTGGTTGTGTAAATGAAGCGAGATTAATACCGCGTAGAGCGAAAGCGTACTCGCTTTAGGGTGCTTAAGCGGCTTGTGCGACCTCTGTGCGGAAAGATTGTTACGCATTACACAGTTATACGCGTTACAGTTGTGGTTTAGGTTACCCTATCGACCAGATTGCCATCTTGAATATAACTGACGAGTCAAATAAATTAAAGGCGACTGCTTACAGCGTTCTTCTGCATCTTTACTTGTCCTCCAACCCTATAGATATCGTTAGCTAACTGGGAGAAACGCAAATTAATAGAAAAAAGATCGTGCTAATAGCATCGACAAACCCATGTCACCTATTTGTTTCAAGTACCAAAATCTTTTTTCGTTTAAAATACAGTTAAATGAATGTTAATAAAATATATACAACAGTTCCATCCTTGTCATATTAAATCTACTCAGTCGTTCACTATGGTGATAAGAAGAATAGGTTAAAGTAGCTGACGTCGTATGGTGGTCGATCGCTATGAGAAAGATTTTGCATACATACATATTATGCTGCAACTACAGCGCACGATTAATAAACATACAGGTCAATGTTGCAATTACTTCACAAAAAGGGCATAGGAAAAAAGCAGAACAGAAACACAGTTTAACGAAATTCAAGTGAAGGGTGATATTACAGCGGCACACAAACAGCCGCATGATAAAGCTAGAATCAGTAAAGTCCATCAGTCGTTCAGCCTTTGCATGCGATGTGTAGCAAATGGGTAGTGACATCAAAACGTACGAAACTAGACGATAGCAGACGACGCTTCGAACGACATACTGGAACGATTCAGCCCAACTCGATATAGTGCTCAGGTATTAGTTCACATCGATGAAGTTATCTTAAGATACCGAATTGCGGCGTTTGGTAGGAAAGCCGCAAACGGTAGTGAATATTGATTACTTCATGCGAGTTATTTAATAAATGTGACACTGTGCCACGATGGCAGAGTTTTCCCATTTATTACTTCCTCGTTGCTCGACCACACTCGACGTGCTGATTGCGGAAAGCTCAACATCGTCTTTTGATTCCAAAACATCTTTGGACTCATCTGGCTCGCTTACAGGACGCCAAAACAATCTTCATAAGGCCATTGAACCGTTGAATTTGGCGCCGATATCACCTATTGTGTCGCCATCCTTGAAGTCACCGTGGACGACGACCGACGATGTTGCGATTGATTCGGACTATCGGAGTCTCAGCAGCAAGTCTTCTGAGCTAGTGTTTGGCTCCAGTCCGGATGAAGAGCATCTGGAAAAGTTTACCCGCTCAAACGAGCAGTTCCTTCATTCACCTATCGGTGATACTGAAGCCCTCTCGTTAGAGCCAGAAGCAGAAATTCTGGAACAGTTTCGTCGTTTTGGCGTACGATTTATCCGGCACCCTGAACAATATACGATGTGCGGCTGCGAAATACCTGATCAGCTGCTCGAATGGCTACTGCTGATAAGCGAGGTTGCAATCAGATATCACGACCCATTACCGGTTTGTTTGCATTACCGCTGGGCTGAAGTAAAACAAGACTTCAATGTTGATTTATTCGGCGATCTGCAGTTTCAGGATTTTTTTTTAGCCAGAGAACAACGGGGACCCCATCATGCGATGATTCATTTTGCGGGACTGTTCGCTAACGTAGGATACGATGGTTCATATTGGTATTGGGTTCTACTCGGAGATGGTGAGATGCCTTTCATTGAAAGTAGACATCGTAGCAAAAGTAACTATGTCGATAGTCTTCGCACAATGGTACGCGAGCAGTTTCGACTTCACAGGGACAGACAAACCATTTGCCCAGAACCAACTCCAAACGCGCATCTCTACGTGCGTGCAGATGAAACAGAATTTCAACGAGAACCCGACAACCACGAATCCGTGGATAAGCTGGACGGTGACATGCCAGACATCCTTATCGAAGAATGGATTAATGAGGATGGTGCCGTGGGCCGTCCTGTACATAATACTGTCGTGGATTCGTTCAACGAAGAGGACGTCCGAATCGTCTACGGACAGCGCGCACCCAGAGAATTGTCCTACCTGCAGTTATACTGCGATCGTTATAACAACTTTCTAGCATCTCTGTAAGCAGCCGATTGCAGAAGTATGTCGTCTAATTTTTCATTCGTAGTTTTAAGTTTAGTGCATAAACTATGACGAAGTGTTAATCCGATAGGCGAGAAATGTAAAGCGATCAGATGATTTGACGAAGTTTGGACAAATCGCTTCATTTGTTCCAGATCTCATTTGTCTACTTATTTTGCATCTCTTATGTTTTGCCTGACCCATATTAAACTCCAAGTGATTTACGACCCATTGTCTAGGTAGACAAGTCGTAATAGCAATCAACGGCGTGTTTGTAGCTAAGTTCGATTAAATTGAGTGTTGTGGCCCAGTGCAGAACCGCTCTTAATCAAAGAGAATAGATGCCCAAATAAAAGAAATTCGTGCGAAATTTTAAAGCTTCTTCTATTTTTGCGATTGTGTGCGACTGTTTGCTTTTTTTATAGAGGGGCTGCATAGTAGGTAGAATGGTAGTACATCAATGTGGTGAACACTCAATACCTCAAACAAAATATTATAGTTATGCATTTGCGTATATATACTATCTATACCTGATATCAAGTGTTGTTTTATATTGTCATAGTATGTGGTACCTAAGAGAGCTTGTGACTACCACAATTATAAGCACGATCCGAAACGGCTTAGCAAATAGCACCGCATCCTTACGCTATTATCAGAGTCGTACATTGCGTAACTGTGATAATACTAAATGTCACTCATTTAAATCTACGACTTCGATATGTAGAAACCACTTTGATACTTTTGGACTAGCCACGGAACCGTAAAAAAAGTGCGATAATATTCATAGAAGCAAAAAAATGCGTGTAAGGGTAGCCTATTATCACATACACAGTGGCACTAACCTTTGGAAAATTCTGATCTCATAATTCGGCTAAAAGACGCGCCAAAGGAGATTTTGCGATTATATAGTCATATATACATATGACCATATAATATAATCGCAATATATATATATATATATATATATAGCATCTTTTTTAAAATGCATTCAAATGTGTTTTACTGTTTTTTTTTTTAAATAACTGCTGACTATCCATTTTAATAGATAAAAATATAACGTTTACCGAGTAAATCTCAGTGTATCAATCGAAATCAAAACTTCGTTGACAAAGGTGTAGCAATAGCTCTGTTACATCGATATGCAACCAATGTGAATATTGTATGCTCATAGTATATGATATGTGGTGAATCGTGGTTATCCAAACCACTTGCTGTCTTTAAATACTCCTTCACGAAGTCAATCCATAGATAGAGAAAGCGTAGACTCCTAAGTGTTTAGGCTTGACATCGACATCAGGTTGGTGATGACGTTGACTCGCACAGATAAAGCACTGTACATCGGTAGCGAGATTCACATGAAATAAGGCGTAGCCCAGCAGAAGATCTTCAGCCATGAGCTTAGCAGTCGCATACATCGTAATATGAGATTTTATTAGAATTAGGATATATTTGGTTATTTATTTATTTCATTAGTAGAAAATGATACATGTAGAGATTGCCATTTTAGTTAAGTATTTTTAAGTTAAGTATTTGTTTTTGGGTTGTTCTGGGTTAATTAGATCGAGAGTTCATGACTATCGACGCGACACAGTCCCACAATATTTACGAGTTCTAGAGTTCTCTAGAGAGCAGCTGCGTTAGTGATACGTCAAACGTATTGATGGAGACGCACGGAATAAAACTAGCAAAAATCGAAATAATTTTCGAAAAAATGATGCTTTTGTAGTAACGTCCATTGATCAGTCGATTAAACGCGTTCATAACTAAAGACACAGCTGATGTGCCAGGGAGTTTAAAACTGCCATTTCGAAGCATATGCTTTCGTATTCAAATGTGAGTTTATTTTCTATGCAACCTGTTTTTTTGAAATCGATGAAAATTTTAAAAAGCTTTGGGACAATAGAGTACTGATAGATAGTCAAGCGATTCGAACTCATTTTTTTTTAGCAGATTCCAAACAACCATATAAGACGTGCATTTTTGATGGAGCAGCACTTTTCCGCACAAAAGAGACCTTTTGTTAACGATGCTGTCAAATGACTCAAAATAGTTGTATGATTTTTATAGGATGGATAAGCTTAACCTAGAAGGTCTTATGATTATTCTTAAAGACAGTCGCCGTAACCTTGCGATCAGTGAGCAGTTTTCTCGCGTGTTGGAGCTGATCTTCCTCTTATCCTTTACTCCTTGGACATTGTTTTTTTTAAAGTGCAGTAATAAACGCTGCAAGCATCAGCAACTGTGTAGTAACGCGAAGCTATACTGGACCTACTCTCCGTAGTTCACAACGGTCATTCCCAACGTCCGTCAGTAGCGTTTGTAGTCCGGTGTGTACAAACGTGGCGGCTTTACTACGACGAGCCTCTTCATCATCAAAGATTTGTGCGGTGTTCCAAAGTAAAGTCGCGTTCAAACGCCGCACTCTTCTTCGATCCTACGCATGTTTACCTGGTGTTCTGCTGAGATAAGCTAAAAAGACTGTGGTATTATCTTATTTAAAATGACTTTTCTGAGGCATCTAAGAATGATTCGCCGAGGCTACTCATTTGACTACACTCGAATTAAAAGACCTTACTGTTATGGACAATGACATGCAGTCCCCTTAGGTTGAATCTCATTTCAATAACCTCTGCAGGAATTGAACCTTAAGAAAGGTGTCTCTTTAGGACGACAAAATTCTTGTTCTTGTGGAATTTGAAAAAACACATTTGGCATGTCATATTTTCTTGCTCATTTGAAATTAATTAGTTGATTTATCAAACCAAGCTGAACCGCAGAATAGGTTTTTACATACATCCAGTTACTTGCCAGCTCGATTGTTAAGTGAGCTCATTTATGATGCCATTCGAAGTGGAAGAGCCCTTCATCGCATGCGACCTTGTCTTCAAACGTCTTCCGCTTCACCGGAAGTTATGTTATCGCCCATGTCAAAGTTGCTCCCCCCCCCACCCATCCGCTTATATTTTAAGCTGTCGTCAACCCACTACCCGCTCCTCCGTTTAACCGAACTTAGCGATTCCAAGAGATCCAACCTTAGATGGACCTAAGACATTTTGCCCTGAAAAACCATTGTCGAACTTATCAACACGTAAGGAATTACTGGAAGAGATCTGCAAATACGATTAGTAAATCTGAAGATTCAGGAATTGGCGTAGTATCAAATAGATCAGGAAACGAATTGGTCCGACAAATATATTATATTCGACGCACAGGCTCCAATACTGTTTTCTGGATGAAATGAACAGATATTTATTCAAGTTATTTATTAGTTATTTATTATTAGTTACAAGAACAGACATTTATCAAGTATGGCCTCTTTATCTTGACGCTTTATGGGGAGCTTTTCTGCAAACGTGGCACGGGCTACGGAGAAAATTTTAAGTCTTCGGATAAGTGCATAATCCCAGACACCTTGTCCTTTAAATACTAGAATAAGTAAATAAATGTACAGCTTGTGGCGCAAACGGTAAAAAATATATAAAAAGGCAACTGTGTGCTTAGCACTAATCCACATGATGTTGCAAGTTTAGTTGCAGCATATTAACAATATCAAACGTGTGTCTAAATACACGTTTTACTATTTATACGACGCACTTTTAGGATGGTTTTCTTTTTGACTCACGTCGTAATTTCAAAAGTTAACGCTTCATTAATACGGCCTTCTCATGGGTTCTTACTGTTTGTTATAGGTTCGGGACATTAGTTATTCTGGTTGTATTTCTTTGTTTTGCTATTCAGAAAGTTTTTATACCATCATGTGAATTTTTTAACTCATTTCTTTTTAGCGCTAGCTTAATTCGATATCTAATTAACGTCTCTTTATTAAGATAGTTATTTATTAGATATCTAATTAAGTCTCTTTTTATTATTATTGTTATTATTATCAAATAGTGCGAAAGAACACCTTGTGTACCAGCCAAGTGGAATGCTCCCAGTAGAATTCAGGTTTTATGCAGTAAGCTATGAGACTCACATGCTTCGCGTTACAAAGTAGATGGCTAGAAGTTCTCGCGTGAATGTTGAACGATCGTACATGATAGCTAAGAGGATACATCGAAAGGATTTCAGAAAATTTCTAGAAGCACCCCTCTCCCCTGAAGTTCTGAACAGTATAAACATCCTCGTGCTAACATAGACTTGAGTAACTAGTCCTTTTAACTTAACGCGTTTCTATTCTGTGCATTGCCTTGCACTGAAAAACAACAGACCAGGCCACCCTAATGGAGGCTTCTCCGTTTTTACAATCATAAGATACGCGACTTTACGTCGTGCTTAGTGGAGATTAACGTCATTGTCTTAGGTAGCCATTCACTAGGTCTCATAGCAGCCTATGTTCGACCAGTTGATTTGGGAACAACGTACGTAATGGTGAAGTAATTCGTCACAAGACTGAAAGAGTTATTCTACCTGCGAGCAATTTCAACGCCTGCTTCAACTAGCCAAATTCACGTTGCACTAGGTCTTTTCAAAACACGATCGGGAGCTATAATTGCAGAATAGTGAGTCTCACCTCGGCACGACTCCTCCAGGACATTCGGTTATCTATATATTTACGATGAATATAACCAGAGATAATGTGAAGCTCTGAGGTCAAAGCCATTCACTGTGCGCGGGCACAAACGTTTGTGCTCACATACCGATAGAATCCATTATTCAAACTGCATCTGCGCGGACAGTCAAACGTCAAACCCCGTTGCGACGGCTAGACGTGGGTAAGCTCCTAGAACGCACTCACTAATTTCTCCCTGTACCTGACACGCTGGATACCAAAACTTACTCCCAGTATCGTATTGAAATTCCCTAGCCTATAGTATTTTTTTTACTTATAGAAGCGTAGACCGTGGTTCAGCTATACTTGCAGCCTTGCTCGGGAGGCCAAGATGGCATTCAAGCTTCTAACCGAGTTGTAGCCGAGCTTGAGTTCTCCCTTGTAGCCTCGCCTTTTAGAGCGATCAATACCGCGATCTCAAGATTCTCTAACAAGACTTCATAGCAAAGGGATTCATGTAAGGTTTTAGGAGCCTACGTGGCAAGAAAGCGTTGTCCCGATGGAGCCAGTTGAGTCGCGAAGAAAAGTGATGTTACAGAAACGGCGTGCAGGATTCTGATGGTTGACGTCTAGAGAGCACTGGTCGCGCCGCCAATCCGCCCCACTTCAAGGCGGCTCCCTGGCTCAAGAGAACAGTTCAAGCTCACTTCAGTTCTCCATCTTGTTAAAAAACGTTTCTGATCAAATAAAAGGGCCGAGGAAAATGTGATGTGCGGTTCGGACAGGTTTTAAGTGTAGCAAGCTCTAACCCGGCTCCACGCGGCAGTTTCAAGTAAACAAGTTCAAACAATTAAATCGTGTCAGAAGTCTCCTTCCCTAAAAAATACTGGAACTACATACAGTGATCCAGAATCGCTACGCTGTGTCCTCGCCGCTGCTGTCCGAAAAGCTGAATTGTCGCTTTGGGCTCACGGTGACAAAGATTACTGAGAATTTGCTTGCTTCAGATTCTATGAAAAGTAACAAATGCAAAGGGGCGAACCGATTAAACAGACATGTTATCACTCGCTTTGCCTGCATGGGTTCTGTCATAGACACTGAAAGAACTCAAATTTCCACCAGCCCGACGATACATGCTGGTACTCCAGATGTGGGGGAAACTGCGATATCTATCGTGCTGTTCATTGCCATTTTAATGACGTCGGGCAAATGTTCTAGTCAGCTTTGTGAGCAGAAAGTGTTCGAAATGGTTCTATACACTTTCTCTGGCATTGGGATTTTGTGTTCTTTACTTATATATATAAGTAAAAAAATCGTATATAGGATTTTTTTACTACTAGAAGCAAAGGTAAAAAAATTAGATATGGTTTTTTTTTGTTTTAAAAAAAGGCTCATTTTCGCATACATGTCAATTTCTACGTTACGAATGACTGCGTAATCTATCGAACACATGCATACTGCAACTTACTTCTTCTGATAATGCTTTGGCGTCTTGTTCAGGCATCTCTAATAGCGCACCTTCTTGTGTCTTTCTGTGCCTAGCGTTACAACTTATTGCTATCTGCTGCAATTGTTTTCAATTGCTCTAACTAGTAACAACAATTCTGTGGTAGTTAGTCATCTCAGTCATCAGAGTATGTGTTCTCAGTTAGTAGACTTGAAGCACTAAAAACAGACTGGCACGATGTAAAGTATATCGAAAGTAAGGCGCTTTCAGGGATCAATACAAAAATACATTAGCAGCAATGACTTTATACTGGCAATAACAACGTGCGTTCATTTGTTCTGAGAAAAATACCAACCGCGTGGTATTATTTTTATTAGCAGATGATTAGCAATGTACCGATTTTTTTTTTTTTACAATGTAGTCTCTCATACCGTGCCGCACTAGTGCATGGTGTTAAAGTGCTAATTCTTTAGATCACTTACTGATTTTTTTGCCATTTTTTATGTTCTCTACTTAATTGTCTTCAGCTTACTTGCACTGTTAACCCATTAGGTAAACCATCTGACAGTGTAATGTTGTTTTACCTCATGTTCTTACTTTCATAACTATATAAGATGTATTTAAATGTTGAATATGACTTGATGTATTTTCAACTTTTAGTTAATTGTTGCGACAAAATACAAGGGTATACTGTGCAAGTTCCTGTTAAGAGGAGATCTCTATATGCATGAGGTGGTGTCGAATTAAATCTTTTTCGGTACTAGACGGCCTGGTTGTAGAACTTGAAGACCAAGCAACTTTCCAATATAAAAAATCCAACCGTTATTGAGTAAATCGCCTTAAATAGTCAATGTGGCATTGTGCTATAGATAAAAAATAAACTTCCTCAGGGGAAGGAGTATTCATCTAGACGGCCCTGTGTTGCGCGCAGCTTTCCCTGAGGCGAAAATACAGACCTTGAATAATATACATGTATAAATATAATGTGTACTTGGAAACGTGTTCAAACGTGCAGTAACTATAAGGTATTAGCTATATTTAGGGTTAAATTATGTTTGCGATAGTTGTCCGTTGCAGTACGCCAGCCTCGTAAGCGGAATCAGCCTTTTATCATCATCATCATAACAGCGATTATGATTAGATAGATGTACAGTGAACACATCGTTAATGTGTGTTTTTTTCCATCTGCACGTCGTATTGCCCAGAAAAGCCGACGCCGTCACTTAATAATAACTACTTTTTTCTTTTTTACAAAAATCGAACTATAGGGGCTGTGCTTAGACGTTTCTTTAAAGCCACATTGATCAAACTGACCTGTCGAAATCCACGTTAGTTTCTGAAAGCTGAAAGTAAGTGGCTTTGGTGAAGCCACTTACACGTACTTCACATGAAATTGCTTGCCTTATCGGAAATAAACTTTCAAAGGACGTATATCACAATTTCATTAAACGTATCGTTAACATACCGTACAAGTTTATACCCCACGCACATATCTCATTATCAAACATGTAATTCAATGATGAAACGTAAAATTCACGTAAGCTCTTCGTTTAAAGGCTGTGAAACTGGTTGGACAGTTCCTAAAGTTTTTGGTGTGCCGATTATTTGAATTTGCTGCTTCCGCAGAGCAGCCGTACGGCACAGTTCTTATTCACACTATGCATGTCGTCGTCGGTGTTTACCTCTAGACTAGAAGGTCTTTGGGTTTACGTAACACAATGAGGCTGGAACGTGTACGTCAAAACTATCGGATACAACCTTAATGTACGTTCCAGCAGCCATGACGGTTGATGTGTAAAAAAATTTTCGAACTGCAAACAGAAAAAACGCGTGAACCCTGAACAGCCTTCGCGACACACAGCGGTTGTGAGGTGAGTGTATACATATATATATATATATATATATTATATATATATATATATGTTAATATGCAATGTATGAACAAATAGGTTTTGCTCATTTAAAAACGTGCCCAGACAATCTAGTCCTCATCAAGCTAAAGCTGCTGGGAGCAGACGAAGCCTTTCATCTAAGGATACAAGTATCAAATGTGACAGTGTTCTCAGATGCCCATTTTCAGAGCAGATTTCGTGCAGCAGTAAAACAAATTTAATAACATAAAAAAATATGCTGAAACAAAGTGCGATTTCGGAGAAGATGGATGAGAAGTGCAATTTATATGATCGGTGGATGCAGTGACTGCGTTTCTAATAGCATCGTCATTACAAAGGTCGTCGAATAATTTCTCGAGCGGCTGTTATCCCAGTGCTGGATATACAACGGAGGGTTCATCGTTTTGAATCGCAGTGGTAATTGCAGTAAACGAGTTGGCTGTTCCTTAGCTGTCTACCGTAATGACCTCCGTGCTGGTTTACATGAAACCTGTGTCTAGCCACCTTTCGTTAGTATTTGACTTCCAACAATAGACGTGTGATACCTTTGTGGGGTGATTCTAATTTGCCGGGCGCCAGTTGCCGTGACCGCTGTAGCAGTGTTTATTGTCGACCGCACGATTGTAGGCCCGGATTTATTTGATTGGACTTCGAATGATTCTCTTGACCACACTAGCGCACAGTTCGAGAACGCTTGTCTGGCTGATGTGCAAGTTTGAACTGGCACGTTTACAGCAAGCGGTCACACCGTGTACGCTTGCTGCTGCTGCCACGTATGTGATGATTGTAGAAATTGACCAATCGTGTTCACTAGCGAGCTGGTCACCTGACGAAGTACCTGTTGATGGGAGAAGCGCTGTCGCCGATCGCGTGTCCATTTGACCAGGTGTCATTTGAGGCTGAAAATAGGTTACTGCAGGCGTTATCGACTGGGCGTGTGTCACTTATGATGTATACAAGAATCTTGGGACATATTTGATGTAGGTCACATAAGTGGTGAGGCCTGTTCTCCCGAAACGGGCCCTGGTTTCGAGGCCATAATGGCTTTCCAGGATTGCATAAGGGAACTGCATCAGACATAACTGTTTCTGGCATTACGCGTAATGGTAATTTGAGGCTCCGAAAATGGCTTTACCTGAATATTTGTCGTATGTCGATCTGCTCGCATGACTTCAGCCGCCTTGCAGAAGATCTTTTCCGTTTTATGGCGGGCGGTAGTCCTTCATTTGACGTACTGCGCGTCGGTAAACTTGTCGTCGAACACGGTGCAGAATTTCCACTACTGCGATTTATTGCGTATGCAACATTCGCCCAGCGTGCTGCTTCGTTCGCCGTTGGTGACGCTTTCGAAATTATGCCATAGTTGTCAAGTATTATACTTTGAATATGTAACGATGATAGATCCGGCAGTGCTTTCCAACGATGGGAAAAACCTATAAAACATCGGAAAACTGCACCAAAAAAGATGCGCATTTCATCGGTTAAGTTGAATATTGTTGTGTTAAACTAACTATGTGTTAAATTCCGTTAGCTTAATTAGAGCTTTGACTGATGGCTATGTCAAGCACGAAATGGCATGTGCGTCAATAGGCAATGACGCGTTCTTCGAAATAACATTTTACTTGGGCTCATTACCTTTAGAACGTACCATATTTTCTCTTTCAATCTTGAGTGTACATTTACGTCTTATGGGGTTCTCGACTCAGAGGCACAAAAACGAAGCAATAGAGGTTTATCGCCAGGCAGGTCTTATTATCGCAAGCAGTGGCGAAATTTCAGGCGACACTGTTGAATAAGTGTCCATATCTGCCGAGCAAATGATTCAAAGAAAAGTTAAAAATTGTACGTACAGCTAATTGCTTTGCTTGAAATGGTGATTATTTGATACCTGTACTTAGACCTCTGGTCACGGTTCGATTCATACCATTGACAGGAAAAATTCTATGACGTAAGGCGTTCGGTGAAAGCAACATGTTTTCACTCCGTTATCGCTTTACAAATGAACTTCATAAGTACAAGTAGATCGTTCCGGCCAAATAAGGACGATAGTTAATGTAGCTTCATTATCGATATATAATAACGAACTTACAACGTCAAGTTCGTTATTATATATCGATAATGAAGTTTTCTCATGTCCGTTTCAACCAGTATCAACCTAATATAACTTCTTTGAATTATCTGCACCTATGTCGCAGTTTACCAAAGCTCTGAAGTAAAATTCGTTCACGATTTTCATCAAAGTGCAGACACTAGAATACTAGGTCTGCTGATTTTGGCAAAAAAAAATTTCTTTTACTACCATAGACGAATGTTCTTGCATCAGAATTAACTTCAGCTTGATGGCAAATTGTTTTCTAAAGGGAGCATACAAGTCGGCATTGTGTACGGTACCCGTCCAGCTTTTAAATCAACAGTAGTATGGATAGGTCGATAAATCGGTTTACCGGTTCCTAGCAGAGTGGACGTGAGAGTTACTGTGAAATGGGTCAGAAATGGCGACCCTTCCACAAAAATTGCATATTTGCATAGTACTATCTTTACACTCGTAAATACCTGGTCTATATTTATAAAATGTCTACAAACAGTGTTTTCAATTCAACACTTAGAACCACGACCGATTTTTCTTTCGAATCAGCGTGTGAGAAAACCCCGCTTGGCACTACCAGCGTCCGTATACAGCCGGGCTTTTGACCTTAAGCACACGCATCCGTGCACGTCAATCAAGTATAGATTCCCAACGCCCGGAAATTAATTAGCGAGTTACATAGACAAAAACAGAGTTCGAACGAGAAACAGCTCGGCAAATTTCTGCATTTCCTATACGTGTACCACTTCTACTGGGCAGTCACCGCGTCCGTTGCTCCTGTAGCGCGGTTGTTTATCCTCACAGCAGTTCGTAAACACCAATGTCGCATTATTTTTTCTCGTTATCGTGGTCACTATCGATTGCCATCATTCCATTTGTATTTTCAATTCACTACAATTATTCATCCACTTAGTCCCTTGTCTATTTTATCCAGGCGCCGCGTATCGCTTACCAGTTCGAACTCGTCTTCGTCGCAATAGCCAATTTGACTAAACCTAGCTAAACGTCCAGCCGTTTGACGCCACAGCGACGGGGCGTCCCGATCATTGTCTGAATCAGCCGACCGCCGTCAGTACAATACTCTGACTCTTGTGACACTTGGTGGGACAGCCACAGGGGGACCTCACGAGGCGCGAACCAATTACTAGCAACACCCGCAGCAACAATGGGTCAACTTATACTTTGGCAATACTTCTTGCAGCGAAAAAGGGAGCCACATTGGCTCCGACTCGGAAACAATTTCTCCGGGTTAAGGTTTGCTAAACGGAGAAGCACTTACTCAGGTTCCGATCGATGCGACAAGCTTGCTGCGGTACTTCCGATAACCGGGAGAAGTCCCTGACAGGTTGCTTGTGAGTTCCGGTTTGTTAAGGTCTGAGCGAACTGTAAGAGCAGAACCAGCAGCGGCAGACGGCTCGTGTTAGAACTTGCGGTAATCTGAGTAGTTACTGGGACACGCACAATTGAGACTTCGGTTAAATGCCAACCTATGAGCGAGTTTAGACGTTTCTCTTTGAGCTGACATTAACGTATGCATTATAGTATGGTTCGTAGCGGAAGTGCAAGCTATTCCGGAAGAATACAAAATTGTCTTACGAATTAATCATGCAGTAGGGCGGTAGTAGCATGCGTTTCTACATGTATCTAGACAAAAATGTTGTACAAAGTGGAGGTACTGATAGTTTGTAATTTGGCAATAGGCGAAGTAATTGTGGCAAAAAAGTCATAGAGGACAAATCAGTGGAAACGCGGCTGGTTTTAAAACCGATCTTTTGTTGTTTGCGTTGCATAACTCGATTTCGCAGAAAAACAAGTGTGAACATATAGCTCAAGACTGACGACTTCTATTAACAATCTAAGAAATGTTGAATTTTTATGTTAACACTTGTCAAGAGAGAGTATTTTGTTTAGCTGATTATCAAGTAGACGCTTCTAACTGCGACAGGAATCCTGGCCGAAGCAAAGGCAATTCGTGTTTACAAAATCTTAAAGGATTTATTACTTCGATTTATTTATTTACACCGAACGTATATAGCTAACAACTTCCTCCAAAAACGTCATGTTTCACGTATACGCTTTCAGCCGGTGATCAATCCACGAGAGGCAACATACAAGGTGTTCAAATATATGATCCTACTAGCCAAAACCAGCAGATTACTCAGAGCTCACTCCGTGCGCTCTCGGTGCTGCTCGGCGACCGCCACCTCTATTCCCATTGAGTTTGCATCTTTCCAACCCAGCCAGTCAACATGTACGATGCCCAAAAGCATTTCCGATTGCAAAGGTAGGTAACGTTTGCATGCATTGCGCGCGTAACAGCGAAAATGTTTATAGTGATGACGAACACTATTTATATTGATTGCATTTGATGAACGTATAATTTCTATATAATAAAAGACGTATATGTACAATCTGTAAACTGTGTATTTTCTTCAAGACGGATTATAATTTACAACGTAACCATACAACTTAATTGTAGTTTATATATGGGGGATCTGCGTATGGATATAGGATATTCAATTTTTAGCGACAGACTCGACGATCGAAGGTCGATGCCTAACATCAATGGTCGATTTGATACTCCATGCTAACATCTGTGGTATAAAATCACGGATCACATTAACACAAAGTTTAATTCGGATTTGGACGTTTCGAGAGTGTTTATGTTTTTCTGAGTAAACAGAATGTAAACGTCAATTGGTGATGTTATGCTTTGAAAGCGTTACCGGCGAACTTGTATTTTGGTCACATAATTAGAAAAGCTAATTTTCTTTTCCTGTAAATGACTCTGGCACTTGTCCAGAGAATGGGTGCCGTTCAGGTGAGCAGCGTTCTTTAGCATTACTAGGGTCAAAATGCGCCCTGATGAGCTTGGGGTAAGTGGATAAGACAGGGTTAATTAGCTTGACACCACCGTAAGAAACGGGCCAATAACGAGAGCAGACGAGTTGCTAATGGTAATTCTGAACTGCACATTTCCTAAGGATACTGATTCGCCGAGACGACTATACTCGTAGAGTGCGTCTTAAAATTATGGCCGTTCATCAAGTTTGTTTCCCGAGGGCATTTTGAGGCTCTAAAATTCTTTGAAATATACCAACAGATTTGGTAATTCCTTTGCTAGAGAGCTATACGATCTATGAACTGAAGAACACAACAGCGCATCGATGTCAAAATACAGACATAAGTAAAAACGTTAAATCTTTCTCTTTTTTTTCTGCTGAGAACCAAGTGTCTGGTGTATATTCGTAAAAACAAAAAAAAACAAAAAAAGGAAAAAAAGTAACTTTGACGAGACAGCTCAAGGTATCAGTATCAGCGTTAGCTAAAATTCTCTTTAATATTTGCGGGTTAATATGTGAAGGCTGTAATTTGCTTTTGACGAAAAGACCGAATATACTTACCTCATCGTTAAATGAAATCTCCACAAAATCATAGATATTCAGGCTAACCACTGTTTCGCATAGCGAATCTATTTAAAGCTTTCTATTCACCGCCAATGCTTGATAACGGGACCATTTCATCTCATTGGGAACGCTACGATTTAGCTTTCTCCGCTGTTAATGCGTCCGAAAGAGTCTGAATGAAACCTCTCGGATATCTTAGACGCACTAAGCCGAATGGTTGCTTTCTAGTAAACCATGTATCTGTTGGCATCAATAATTCAATCAACATTTTCATAATTCATCAATACAGTTCAGACAACATTACATCATAGCTGATAAATTCCATCTCTTGCTATGTTCTCGTTTGTTTTCTGTTTTGGTTGAAGTAGTGAAGTTCACCTGGTCGAAGCAGTCGAACTGCTATTTCAGCAGGTACTATGGGGGGGCAGAGCTGAGGGAGAGGAATCAACCGACACCGCTATGTGAGCTTTCTTTCCGAGGGGGGTACTCATGAGGCGATGATCACAAGTGAGAGAAGTTCAAACGAGAAGAAGCTTCAGCAATACGATACGACACCTTCTGTCGATGATATCGTGTGTCAGCCTCCGTTTGAGAAGTTAGGAGATGCTTAGAAGTTAGAAGAACGACGTTCAGAGACGATGAAGTTGTAAAGGTGGTCACGTTAAAAGGTTAGGATAATAGTTCCAGTGCAGGGAAATTCGACTGTGTTTTGTCTTTATATTCTTTATAAGTAAGCAGTGTGTCACAAGAATGACAGGTTAACCGACATAGGTTAGAAGGAACGTGCTGGTTATAAACGCTAGAACTCCAAAAAGCTTACTGGGCACAGATTTGGAGAATATCGATAGTAAAGCGAGGCGTAACCTGCAGCCACTTTTAAAAGAATTAGTACATCAACATGTGCGACGCTTGATTTCTTTCGGGTCAGAGTTTGTTGCACTCGGCTACTGAGCAATTTCCCACTTCGAACCTCTTAAACGAATATAATAATGACACAGCGCTCTCCAACCATTAAATGCGAATTAAATTATTAAGATGATTGACAACAACGTCTCCTTGCATGTTCTGTGCTCTAATCTCGACAGATGACTGTTGCTCGGCCGGACCGAAGGGCTTTCTATTTCAGGGGGAGGCAGCTGCTCTTGTGATTGCACAGGCGGAAAAAGTTAAGGTGGGGGGCATGTGGAAATCTCAGTGTTTATAGGGCCTACACATAAAACATATCAAGCGGGAATCAGAGTCAACAACGGCAACCGAGCGACTATCAGTGACGTGGTTAATCCGCTACTGATTGTGGTAGTACAAGACAGCAGAAGCGCACGTAACAGTAAGTACATATTTTTCGAAACGGTTTGGAATTTGTTAGGTAGCGAAGTATTATCTGCGAAGCATGATAATTGTCTCTTGCTTTTAATCCAGTTAACAGAAACACAGCGTGTGGGCTAAAAGGCATGACCTGTCTGCTAAAAAAGTAGATACGTCTATGGTGGTATAGGTCTTTGAAGCTTGCTACACAACAAAAAAGCCCATTATCTTTGAACTCAACATAAATCAGTTAATCTTCGACTGCTAGGAAGGTACCTATACGTTTTAGATGTCGTGTATGATCGGACGCACTTTCCCTGACACAATGAATTCCATGGAGTCGTTTTGAGGCATGTTCTGTTTTTTGTTTTTCAGGCTTGATGAATTTACGATAAAGTCGTAAAGGGTGACTTATCACTGTTGTCCTTTGGCGGTACGTAATTCAGGTATGTACGTGCATGTCGGAGTACATAGAAATTTCAGTAAAGGTTGTCTTCCATATGTGATTTGCTGCTTCGGCATTACAAGCAATGACCTCTTCAAAAATAGTACCATAGTTCGTTACGGAATAAATCTTCTAATTTTCGATTTGCTAGAACTTGGAATTTTTAGGTTCGAAATAGAATGGTAACTTGACGTTACGGACTCAGTTTTGAGAAATTTTAATAATTTTTTAAATGTGATGTACATGTTTCATAATTAAGGAGCAGGTTTCTCTGAATTAGCATCTTGCTCTAGAGCTAAACCAGAATTTTTTTCTAAATTAATCATGTTGTGTTAAATACCAATAAAGGCTCAGTCGGTATTCAGCTGTTTTTTGGAAAAATACGTATGCATGACTTTGTGATTTTGCACGACAGCGAAGCTATTTACTACCATTTCTTCCACTGTGTGTGATCGCAGTACTTCCAGTGTCCTCAAATTTGACAGCAAAAAATTAGGCGCAAAGAAGTACCTGCGGATTCCCCAAGAAACAACCCCCATATTTAGCGAAGCAGATGTTTTGAAACCTTTGGTCTTGAACAGGAAGGCATCTATAAGACAACAATGTCAGGATGGGCTAGAAAGTTGACTGTTTTAAATCATTCTCTTGTCCCTTTGCTTCAACAATGAGTGACGGGTGTGTTTTTAGCCTTATTAAATTACAGTTGCTGCAGGTTGTAACATAGCAAGTCAGAAAAAAATATGCAGAGAAACATCAGTTTTTTTTTTATCTGGGTCGTAAAGCAGGTTACAATAATTTGCAGGCAGAATGTGAATACCAGATAGACATTGTGATTGTCTAGTAAGAAAAGCTGTGGTGGCTAATGCTATCTAGCAGCAAGCACACAATGGCGGTGGAGTACAACATCTGGATTTTATTTTGAATTTAATTAAAACCTATGGCTTCGTTTTCCGGTGACGACAACTACTCTGCCGACTATAATGTTTACAAAAGTCATTTACCTGAATACAATTTACGATCATTCTCAAGCACATCAGGCTGTGTTCGTGACTGGGAGCAAAAGGAGATTAGTTAAACTGAATAAGTTGCTGGTAAGTTATTAAATAATTTTTTCGACTGCCCGGATTGACTTTGACTCGTGCGTGACCCAGAGCTTTGTGAACGTGACAGACATTCGAAGTATATTAAGAAGGCGTACGGCTTATGACTCTGTTTCTAGTCGAGGTGTGTAAACAAATTCTAAATAAACGCTTGATCTCGGCAAAAATTATATGAGAAGTAAGTAGCATAAACTAGGATGAAGTAGAATTTCACAGATTGCTATGATCCCCTATCCTGAGACCTCTGAAGAACCGAATATCGCTTTCTTCATTACTAGCCCGTACTGTTCATGTAGTAAACAGTATGTGAATTTTGATAACCTACTTTTCAATTTTTTTCATTTGCCACCCGCCCGAGCCTCCAGGGAGAATGAAGGCAGCCCTTGATACGGTTTTGCCGTGCTGCTCTCAAAACCGTCATCAGCAAACCCGACTTGCACGTAGGTAAAGTATCCTGTTCACTGAACCCGGCAGTAATACCCAGGATCATGGTGTATTTGGGACCGTCTATCGATATCATGGGTTGGGCGTCGAGCCCGTTTAAAATAGCCTTTTTGATCATTAGCAATCAAATATATTTAGTATGCGCAACCTAATTTAAATAGATAATAAGTCTTTGTTGTATTGCACGATGGTATAGCCAATACAAAGACGCGTTTATTTAACAATAGTGCATGCTAACTTGTCACCCAGCCATCACAGCGTTCGTTAGATTTTTAAACATTGAAAATAACGTGAGACATCATCACCGCAGTGACAAAACAATAATGTATATACGAGGTAAGATTATGTTCGTAACGAATTGGTATAGCTAGCTGAGGCGGTCTATAGACTTGAATGTTTTTGCTTCGGCGGACATCCAGGACCAAGACCACAATCAATTGTTTTTAAATTTATTTTCAGGTGCCGTTACTTTGACCTAGGCGAATAGGAAGCTAGGGCTATCGGGAAAAAAGCAGCGCATCTATCTAATTTCGTCTCGTAGCAAATATTCTACGCTGCGCTGTACACAAAGTTCGTATGGTAGTATGACAGGAGCTCTGCCACGAGCTCACTCTTTCGGACAAGTACATAAAACGGTTTAATAGTATTTATTTTTATAGGCGTATCATAACGGCAATGTAGCCAATCAAGAATATCGATTATTAGAAAGGAGACTTTGTGCCATGAAGCTCGAAAATTGTACTCGTGTCCAACCTAAAATTTATGTACTGCTGATGTCAGTCGCGTTACAGCCAAGCAACATTTTGCTATTTGCCATCTTAAAAATCGAAGTAGTCGGCTAAAATCTTATTCATGCTAAAACCTGAAAAACAGTGGTAAAATGTATCCTGTGTCAATGGAAAAAGATATTGTTTAATAATAATACCTACGTTGTCCGTATCACTAACCGCATTCAGAGTTCTGACCATACAAGCGTTCTTTGAGTAGATGTTTGCTCAACAGCTTTCGATACACATATAAATATGTCATTCGGCGACGGCGTGAGACACTTCATCGGACGGCTGGCTTCCAGCACAAAACGAAATGCGTCTCTGCCTGGATTCGATCCCGCACTACTACTACTACTACGTCGCTAAGCGTAGCTAGCGATATGTTGCCCGTTAATTTTTCACGGGGATGAAATTAATCTATAATTATTTTTTATCGATATGAAAAAAACAGTTTATAAGCAATACTATAATTTTCTAAATAATTAGGAAAGACTCTTCATGAAGACTTAACTATGCTATAGGTGGGACACATCCTTCGATACCCTAAAAACAAAATCAGCCAATCTGATGTCGATAAGTTGTCGAGGCCTAATCGTTAGCGAAATACCCAAATGGAACTACTTTTGTACTGCTTATGATCTGCTCTCGTTGATTGTGTTACATTAAAACCTAGGGAAGAACATGTTGAAAAGCAAACATAATATCATTTGCAAATGGTATTTTGTGCACCCAATTTTGTGTACGTTAGTTTACATCTAGCTTGACAAATGATTCACTGATATCCTTGCTGCTAGCTCACATAAGCACATCGTAAAAGTCATATATGTCTGTATGTTTGTATAATCTATAGATTTACCTCGTCCAAAGTCCAATATTTGATGGTAAGGCATAAGCTATGCTAGCAGCGTTGGTGTTAGGGTTGAATTTTCTAAAGATACGTTCCACTAAGTTCTCCAAAATATCCAGTAGGAGCTATTATACGCACGCCTAGCATCCACAAAAAGATAATGAGTTGTTACTTGCTGTCTAATATTGTTGCATCACAGAGAGGCATGGTTAAAAGCTAGATGCGTCGATCGTAAAAAGCTAAAAAAATCATGGAACATGTTTTCCTCATGAGGATATACGAATCGTAGGCGCCTGATTCAGTCTGTGGACTCTACTTTCTACAGAAAAACGATATCTATTTTGTAATTACACGGATTTTTAACAGCTAGTCAAAAATTGACAAAGAGAATAAGATCTCTAATACTAGAATAAATTTTGCTATGATTTAGCAAATTTTTTAATGCTACGCCATGCGTACCGAATGAATCTGTTGGTCTAGCGGTAAGTAAATGTGAGTATCTCTCTTTTTAATTTTACGTTACCTTAAATTTCCCTTAAGTTAAGTGCTTACCAAGTAGGAAAAAATCGAATACATATGTGCGTACAGCATTTACTGTAGATATTTTTCGGATGCTAACGATGTTATAGTAATGGATTTAAGTTTCGATCTAATGCATAAAAATTAAAATAAAGGTCGGTAAATATATAGTAATTCGTAGGCGAAATTTTTTCATTGCGTTAGCATTTTTCGAAAAAAAATAAGCATGTGGCTCGTGAAAAGACTCATTAGAACTTGTTAAACGATAAATCAACTGTGGCACATTTGGGCCAGAGGAAAAGTCACTCTGCCCACTGCTAGAAATGGTAGAAGTGTAGCGTCCTCTTAGGACAGCCGAGGCCAGGCAACAAAATGCTGTATCGCCAATCCAAAGGAAATATTTGTTTGTCCTACAAGTTTAAGACTAAGATCATTACTCTAATGGACGAAGCGTTTGTACCTCTGCCCCTTAACGCATCTTAGAGTAAGGCGGATTTAAGCCTAAACCTATAGCCTTTAAGGAAACCAAGTGAAGTGGTGTTCAACAAGGCTGGTGATACGGGATAGGCATCTGGCCTTAGTGGTCGTTCTAGCACAGCACTAGAGTTCTACTTTGGCATGAAGGGCCTTTACATGCAATTTTCTTGTAGAAAAGGGCGGCACTACAAAGTTTTTAACGCACACATGTAACAATTTTCACGCACTCGTTGCACAGCGATGTCTCTTCTATAGTAAGTAATCAGGCATACGATTTTTTTGACCGTAGATGCCGGTTCAATTTTTTCTTGTAATAGGTTTTGTATACGCCCTACTGTAATTTAATATTCAACCCCAAATTTATTGTATACTCAAATCACAAGCTATTATTGCTTATGTTACTAAAGCAAACTTAGTCTCGTCACACGTCACGGTAACAACAATAAATGGAATATATTTGGAAAGGATAATCTTCAGCGCACTCCTCTCGAATCGATCCAAACGTTGTTTTATATGACAATGTCGCTGTGTGAGCTTCATTGATAAAACTCCGCAAAAAAAAGATAAGGATATTTCATTTTTCAGCACCCTTTTTATTTCCTATAGAACATATTAATTCACTAAGCCATTCTTATTTGCGGGGCTCAATTGGGCTAGTTCCTAGTCCGGTCATCTGCCAAGCAAGCATTGCCAAGATTCAAACGTACCAAATCCATAGTCTACTAGATATCAACCAACGGACGCTAAGCATAGGTGGTACATTGTTGAAAATATGAAAACTCGTAATTTCCCCCCAAAAACATGCTGCACATCCCTTTTCCAAACATACAATTCAGTTATTTGCTAACACTTGTAAATTTCAATGGTTTTTTTTTGTCATTTTATCACATTGTTAGACACAAATATGATGTCGTTGGGTTGGTATCTAACCAAGTCCGGACGAGTAAGCCCTTCTTTGTCCCAGTTCGACACACAGACATCAGCACAGGGGTACAGCGCCAGCAGCGGCGACGACAACCACCTAAATAACAACATCGCCATGAGCGGAATGGAGAGCTAACAAAGGCTGTTCCATCTTATTGAGTCAAATTTAAATAAAGAAATTACGAAAACATAATCTATCATCTTCGACAGACTCATGTTCAGTGAAATGGAGTGCCCGTAATCCATTTTTCGGCACAATTATTCATCGAGGTCAGTGTTACTCGAACCCCGCCATTGCTCTCTCTGCGGGCGACGACAAGGGCTGATAGCATTCTGGTTTTTGGTTGTACGCCCCCACAGTCTTGCATAGTAAAGCCAGACTATGATAAGTAAAGTCTTCTCTTATAATTTCGCTAGATCAACATTGTTGAAGGTTGGTGAGTTCGAAGAAAAGCGTTCGCTCACCTACATGGAAATTCTACATGGAAGACGTGTGTTTCGGTACTCGGAGGGCCAGAGTAAACGCGCCAATAGCCTAGCAGCATTCCAGTGCTAACTGTTCTCGTGTTGAGTAGAGTGTGAAACAGAGACGGAAAGTTGTTTTTTTTCATATATACATGTATGTATATTATTAGCTAGAGACATTTTGGCGACCGATGCTTCACTGACAGCAGCAGCAGCAGCAGCTTGGCAATGGCCCCCGGACCGTTTTCTACGAGTGACCAATGTAGCGTTTCGCCAACTTCGAGCTCGTTCGATACAACTTATATTTGAGACTTATGCCATCGCTTACAATCGCACTTAAAGACCTTGCTTTGCTCTACTGAAATGTTGATTCGCCGTAAGCCCTTGATCATTTCTCGCTGGCGGTTTTATGTTATGCTGTTGCTAAACTATATAATCCGCTAACACAGTAGCGCTGCTTGAGCGTAATTCGAAAAAGTATACGAAAATGTTATTTGTTAAAAAAATTGTTGGCTTGTCTTCGAGGCACGTATAGATTGTGGCCTTTATTTTACTAGTGGTTCTAACGCTCCAAGAGTCAACGCTGTTGGCATCCAAATTTAACAAGCTTTTTTCATAAATGTTTCACTCATTAATGTCATTTTAGACACTGTGGATGAGCTTGCGCCGTTATGATTAACATGGTTGTTTTTTTTTTTTTTGCTATTGATTGATACAAACGTTATGAGACCAAACGAATTTTTCGGTCCCTTAGACGCATGCTATAGTTAGCGTACTTTATTGTGATACAAAAATTTGGCCAAATCCATGAAGGAAGTCGCGCTATCCGTGCAGCCATTGGCTGGTGCACCAACCTCAGCGGTCGACCTTCAAGTAAAATTAGGTAGATAACCAGAGCATAGCTTGTTACTATCCTATTTATTATGTCCCGCCTCAAAAGAACTGATAAAGTAAAATGCAACGAACCAAACAAATTCAACTTTCCTATTTAGGCTAAATGTGCCGGGCTACAACTTCCTTCAAAGTACACGTTTAGTTCTTATAAACCGACTTTTTCTTCGTTTAAACTCAAATCTGTACATATAAAATACGCAATATCCCCTGGAGATGTTGTCTTCGAGAACAGATGTGCTCCATTGCTTTTATTCGCTTTGTAGAATGGATGAAATCGAAGGAACAAGGACGAGTGTCGCTATCGTAACTAATTCTCCGCCGGATGAGATTCCGCCAACTGGCAGTACCCGAAAAGCATTCGTTACGTGCGATGGCAGAGCCTCCTTTGATTCAAGTGTCGTTTTGTCAACAGTGGCATCGTTTCTGAGGGAAAAGGTAAGACAACATTTCTTAACAAATTATCCTGTACGTTGCATGTATTGCCATGCTGTTGCACAGTCGGTGTATGATGGAATCATCACAGTTCAGATTGGATCGTAAATCATCATGGTAGAGATACTTCAGCTGCTGAGCTCCGCATCGTTACCACAAGTGGTATACGAGGGTGCCAATGTCGCGTTCCTGCGCAGCGCATTCTATCTAATCAGCTTACATTTACAGAAGCATAGGTTCAATAGTGTGATCAGCTTCTTCGTCATTGATTGTGCCTTTTTTTAGGTGTTCCCCATCATAGGCGATCACTGCCTTATCAACCTACACTGGAACGGCACAGATCTGTCGACACTTCACGTACGAAGTGTAGTCCCCGATAGCCATGTGTTACTACCCCGAACAGCAGCACCGCCCTTAAGCGACCCTGAACAAGTGGCGAGCTCGCTGTCTTTGGCTCGGGATCAGGATGATGCCGCATTTACGTCGCCACCGGCAAATATCACAATTAAAGAGGAACCTATCGATGTAACCGACGAGCTTATCATCGCGGAGCATGAGATTAAACAAGAGCTTAACGTCGATCAGGATGACTCGAGTTCCGATGAAGGCAAGTTCGACACTGAGGATCAGATGATCGATACTGAAGATGAGATCTTAAATGGGTCTGGCACTTCGTTGGTTAACGACAAACAATATGACGACTTTCGGCCTAAACCCCCTGTACCAGCACTACCTCCAGCAATGGATCACGCGGCATTTCCAATGTATTTGCCTCAAAGCTCAATGATCCCGATGATTCCTGTGGTGGCTTTTAGCCAGTCGCAGCTTCCTTGCCATCAGATGACCCCTATGTTGTTATCACCGATGCAGACCATGTCCCAACTGCCCATACAGGGGCTACCGTTGGTGTCTGGATACAACCACTGTCTGCAGTCGCCGTTCGGAATACAACCTGTCACTCTGCCATTGTCACAGCAGCACCAGGCTGCTGCCGAGCCCAACGTTATCTTGCAACGCAATACCAGATACGTGTAAGGGTACAAATTGTAGCTGATATGCTAACTATATTATGCAACAGAGTTTGTAATCACGACTTTACAAACAGAACGCGACTTATTTGGAAAAATCCTGCTGAAAGCGAATAGTGGACAGCTTTTGTAAAGAATACAATGGTGCCTCATGAACAACAACGAAAGGCGAAGGATAACATAAACATTCTTCGCAAGTATTCGTAGCTGGAAACGTCAGACTCCCAAATCTCAGTTTACCCTTCCTAGCGATAGGCAACAACGAAAACGATTTGAAGATTTGACATTAGATTGAAGTTGCCGCCCAGACACTACTAGTAAGTATAAGACTCCTGAGCTGTTTGATAATCTGCTCTCAACATGGTATAACTAAGCTGCTAGAGCTAGACAATTATAGTGTACTATAAAAGTAGCGATAAGATTAACCAGATTTACGAAAGTGGTACGCACAAAAGCCGCTTACTATTTTTATAAGCGAACTTGTACGTGCAGCAAAGGTGCCTTGAGGCATATGAGCTTTTCCAAATTGTTATGTCCATATCTCTAAATCCTGCTCTATGTAGTCTGTGCATCTATGTTACGATAGCCGTTGGATAGCAAAGCACCTATTAGTTCCGTCAATGAAAAAACATTGTTAAAATGGAAATGCTAACCGGAAGCTGTTTTTCCTGCAGGATTTCATTATAAGTAAACATTCAAGATAGGGCCAGAATAGGGATCAACGAAACAAAAATGACGGAGATCCGACTGAACCATTAATCCCGCAAAGATGGACGTGAATGACGCCTCTGAATAATCAATCAGCCAGCGGCTTTACGTAGGGGCATCGTTAGAAATATTCTTAATCGCTGTTATATAGAGACCTGCGACATGTTGAATGTTATACAGGGTGCTCATAAAATTATGCGTACTAGTGGGTTTGCACAATTGCAACCAAACTCCGTAATTTTAAAGCTGAGCTACAATATAATTGTCAGATTGCCCTGTGTTCATGATATTTTGCGTGTATGGAAGCATATTGCCCTCTGACTAGTATTGACTGATGCTCTATTTGTAGGCAGGATTCTGTGAATAGCTTCGTTAGAAATGGCGTTCACAGTTTTAATTAATACTTGTTTGATGAAGGTGCACCTATGAGAAATCAATGTTGGGAGGTATACGAGGCAATGTTTTAGTGATCGGCCCCTCATATCTTGGGTATGGGACCGCTGTATATACACCTGTAAATAATAGTACGCGAATGTTTATTATATTGGAGGGCATACAGTTTTCATCGATGCCTAACTGTCTGTATCTCCCGAGTATTTGAACTTTAAAGATGGAGTTCTACATAGCAGCTATACATTTCATTTGTATAAAATGACATCATAGATGAAGCCAGAATTAATTTTAGGTAGAAAAAAAGCACACGAATTTTCAAATTCGTCTGCTCATTTCTACATATGTTGTAAATTCCTCATGTTGTGCGTAATGTGTACGCAGAACATAAGGGAATTCAATGCATCAAATGGGATGTACTGATCTTTCAAGTGTTGTGCTAGGAACATCTGGGGGCAGGCGCGAGATCTATCTGGTGTTGCCGTTCAATACAAAAATTTACTGTGATTTTATGTAAAGGACACCTATTGATTGAAATTGCAGCTGAATCATGATCATATCAGTAAATCAATGTAGATCGCCATATGATTACACGTGTACACCCATGTCCGTCAACGACGTTGGTATTTAACTGCTCCTGTCAATGACGCATACATACGATCTGATTTAGCCTACTGTCCATATTAGACAATTCACCTTCTTATCCATAGCGGTTGTATGCCCTCCAAACGTATCATAGCGCACACTATATATAGACTTTATGCATAGAGACATGATTTATCTGCACTACGATCAACAAACGCGGAGTCGATTTTACCGCTAAAACGGCCGCCATCATCTCACTGAAAAGAATGACGTAATCTATCGTCTTTCCCTTTAGATTTTCAAAGGCTGTCATCGTCTTCCTTTGCGTTGCCAAGTTCAATCTTCTATACGTGTGCATATAGTCCTCCATTTGAGAGTGAAACGTTACATCAATGTTTTTTTTCGGAACGTTTTTGTTGGTGTTGACATCTTCCAGTCCTAGATACTCTTTGCTATATATTTAGAGTGTGTATATGAATTATATAGAAAACAAGTTAAATTTATTATTTTGTAATTTTTACGCATCAATCACTGGTGTACCGTTTTTGTCCTACCTGAAATAGAATGTAAGTCACTCTCAGTCACCTTACGAATTGCTCCTAATCAAATACCTGGGAGTAGGATATGGCAACTTTTCTAATCAAAATGTTAAAATACGACTGATTGAGGAACAGGTCGACGAATCCCAACGGTCGCCGGAGAAGGGCGACTTACGGTTATGCAGCTGTATGATACGCCACTGTACATATATATTTACATGTCTGTTAAATATATATATAGTTAAGCAAGTGTTTTTCGTTAAATTCGTGTCCTCATTGATACTACCTACGAGCGGGTGAGTACTGTTCGCTCGATTTTAATAAAGAAGAAAAAACAAAAGACGTTTGACATTTAGAAAGTATGGTTTATAGGTATAAAACATACACTTTTTCAATGAAAAAAAAATGTTGGGTTATTGGGGAGGGAGGGAGCGAGCCATTCCGCTTCTTATACTTTGTTTCTTTTTATGGCTCAGTAGATGCTGCTGCGAATTCCGAAACTAATCGAAGGAATTACCACGTAATTAGTAAGAAAAGGACTAATAAAATCGGGAGCGTCGGCTTCTTGTTGATGATTTCATCTATAAAGCAAATTCGGATAGGCGAGCTAGCGATAAATAGATGAAATGAATAATAGTACTAGTAATGATGCGGGGGGCAACAAAAGTAGCATAAACTAGTTTCGACTAGAACATTAATCTCGTGTAGATAGAGGCACGTATTGATGAAGATATTTCGGCGACGCCCAAACTCGTTGAAGCTTTTGCGTAGTAGATGGTTCTCTTTCCTGCCACAACGTCAAGACGGCCGCACCCGTTGGTGGCTTTCTTCTCGACCACAATGGCCAAACTTGTTAAGGTTTTTATTTATTAGATGTATCTGCGGCTAGATGGCTTCAGAGTCACAGATTTCAGGTCGTTTGAATGCGGGGCGTTGATGCTAGTGACACTGGAAAGCAGAGGTCATGTAATAGTAGAAGCGCTGAAATCGCTGGAATGACTTCACTCTAACTCAATATATAGAGCCTTGAACAGGAGTAAAATTTCTCTAAAGGAATTTACAGTTTTATTGCGATACAGGCACATTACTGTTCAAGCCCATAAAAAAATAATGTAGAAGATGAGCTGTTGGAGGAAACGGTCCAGAATTGCTTCTGTCGTTTTCGGTCTGCGCAAAATGCTCCCTGTAGTTGTCGAGCAGTTATATAAAAACTTAATGAAATTGTCACAAAGGCTGAGCAAGACCGACACGTGAGCGGCCATGACATCGTCAATCGATCAGACACAAACAGCCTTAAGCTATGAAGAAAGAAAAAAGCTGAATACTAAAGGAAGCTTCAGCTTTGGGTAGCGTACGAATTGATGCAAAAGAACATACGCGATCGTATTGTCATTTGCGAGACGGCACAGTACTATCAAGTAATTTGTAAGCAATCGACTGGAGATAATAACAAGTACGATAAAAATGTGCTCTACCAAAGCCTGGGTTGACGCCCAATAAGGTGCAAATATCACTTGTTACCCACCTAGAAAGCACAGTTACGGTGCTACAATATAAAAATTATTTTCGCTTAAAAATTGCCAATAGCTTTTGGTGCGTATTTAGTTAACTCCAATATCGTTCCCCTTGTCTGTTAAAAATAGAGGGCCGGCACTCCTCAACATGGCTGAAAACTTTGCCCGTGTCGCGGTGGGAAGTGAAATACGGTTGGAACATTCTTCAGTCTTTAACGAACGGTAAATGGAAAGACTGAGGGCAATTCCTTAAGCTAGTTCGTTCGAATAAAATCTTGCTCGGACAAAAGGCATGATCACATAATGATGAAAGTATTTTTTTTTCTGTAGATTATCATTAGGATTTCATTTAACACCAGCATATTGGTTGAACTATAAGCTCAATGAGTTCTATTGATGCTGCCGATTTACAATTGTCAAAGTAGGCGAACCATTGGCTTTACCAATCGATTGAAAGAAAATACACATTTAAATGTGCTCTATCAAGGAAGTGCACGTTTTAAACAGCCGAACTTCATCATCAAGTGAACTCAGTCATCAAGGGCCCCGCTGAATACACCTGCCCGTGGCGAGATACGAAGAACGATTCAGTTACGGGAAGTTTTATAGGCCCATACTATAAATGCAGATAATTTATCTATATACGCGTCCCAGAGCCCAAAGTACTATTATGTACCGATGGGTTCAGATTTACCTGGGTCTGGTGCACTGTTCTTTAGTTAAGTTGAACGGCGTTTATAGAATTTCCATAGACATAATTTAATATTGCAAGAGAATCACTGTACCCATCGATTTCTAGTCGTCTCAACACTTTTTCCTATTCATTCTAGGTACGCACATTGTTCGCATAAAAATCTATGCCTCCTCGGATGAGGATAGCTTTTGCTAAAACTCGCCCACACCTACGAATAATATAGGTTATTAGTATATGTGTAATCACTATCCAGATGTTCCTGCAAAACCCAGTTCTCAGGATCGACGTACAAAACTGAGCGAAACAAATGTAGCAAGAGCTCGTTACGGCTCCAGACTTCAGACACGTATTTGTTCCGTGCGCCATTTTGAATCAATGGCATATAACCTGTGCGCCTCACATCTAGAGTGGGTCAGTACAGATTTTATTGGTAGTTCTGAATAACGGTTTCCTGTTCAGTTTCCGCAATGCTTACCCAATACGCATGCAAGTTTTCACTTTGAGTAAAAGAAGCCAGTAGTACTTTGCTTAGCTGCCTCGTTGTGTCACAGGAGACTTGCCATCCCGCAAGAGGATTTCGAACGGATAGGAGGTAACCTCGTCGTCGTTCTCAGCCTTTCGTTTGGCGTTATTTTTCTTTTAACCAACTCATTTTCTATTGAAAATAAAACGAGGGCGCGAAATTTCCAAGCGGTTGGAATCAAGAGACGGTTGATAGCTAGCGCCGAAAAAGGGCTGTTATCCATGGACTCGGTTTATCCTTGTATTGTACATACACCTACTTTACCTGCCACTCTCTACGGAATCCGTCTGTAGCAAAAGGGCCTTTTATAAACTCAGGTACCTAGCCTGAAGCTTGTTTATAACAAGGTCAATGTTTGTTAACAAGGGCAATTTCTCGGCAATACTATCGAGTTGGGAAAAGAAATCGCCTTTGCTGAATCACTCAGCATCATGACCATGTGTCCAGTACTCGCATTCTATTTCTTACTGGCTATCGGTTTACGTACGTGTTTAAGTCCATGCAATAGCTATATGTGACGTCTCAATCGAACAACGACACGTAGAGTTAGCGCGTCCTTCCAAAAGATCCTCCTGTACTAGGGATGTCAAACAGCAGGCGGGATACAAACACGCCTTGTACAACGGATTTCGCATCTATGGCAGTTCGAAGCTTTGCAACATCGTCGGTCGGTGGTTGAATGAGTGGAAACAACTGTCTTCTTCTGCGCACCAACGCCTGCCGTACGTTACTTTTCTGTGTTGAAAAGCTCTCATTTGCGATTGCTTCGACTGTATCGGTTAAACGACCTTGATATAGTATCATAAGAACACACTTACTTTTGATAATTGCCGATCGAAAAGTTAATTAAGATTGATCATTAAATTCTGTATCGTGACGAAAAAGCGCCTTTAGCGAACGTGGCAGCTGTTTTTTGGTCGACAAAGCTCTTAAACGCTAGTTGTCTAGTGCAGGATGATCGCGACCGTCATGTCTTGACATTGCAATGCAAGCGCCGAACTAGTCGCGCGAACCTACAAAGCGAAAACAAACATCTACATACCCTTGTATATTCTCCTGATACAATATTACACTCATTGACACCTTTAATATTTCACTATTGCATTAGTATAATCTATATATATCTACTATATATAATCTGCTATAGTATAACAGAAGCGTCAAATTATTCTTCACTGCGTCGTATCCAAAAATGACTCTGTCCGGATGTGCTGTTGATCTATGGGGGCCTCAGGGGTAACACGTAATTCCAGTTTACCTCAAAATAAATACTGCGAGTTTTACGCATGGTATTGCCGAACAGGGCGTACGCAAATCGAAAGCCCTCTCTAATTGGATTTGCAGGATATGCGCTGACGCTCACCATTTCCTATATGTTTTTTCATTTCTTTGTTATCACAGTGTCGTCCTGATGAAAAGCTTATCATTGCTTCATAATGGAGCCAGGTGCACCCCATAATCGGGTGGTCAGTCTACTTCGTCGTTATACTTGAAAAGTACTATTCCGAATGGACACGGCGAACAAGTTCTTTGAGCTAAACGAATCACTTGAGGCGCGCGAGGTGCCAATGTCGCCTGATACCACGAGGATATCAAGGACTGTCGCTAAGAGAAGTCTTCTATAGTATTTTTCCTCTGTCAAAATGGCCGGCTGATTACGTCACGGACGGAAAAAATTCGCTTCAATTTCAAGACGATCATAAATTTATCCGCAGAGAATCTACTCGCATGGAACTAGGTGCAAAGATAACCACAGCTAATAAACTGTATCGCTAAACTGAAAGTTTGCCGTGCTTGCGGCAAACGCTGCTTCGAAAAAGAGATACCTAGATATTGTTCAAATCAGTCTCTTCAAATATGTTACATGCTTGCTTGTAATCTTCGTGCCTCTTATTGTTGGCTTGAAGAGGCATCCCGCGTGGTTTCAGCCGTAGTAGTAACAGTCTCATGAAACGTAATCAACGCGCAACAATGAAGATGACACAAGGATCATACTGCACACTTTTCTGTTTATTACCAATACTGTCTGTTGTACCGTGACTCTCGACAACGTTGACGCAGTTAGTCATTGCTAATTTACACATATCCATGCCACTCCGTCCTGTTTTTTTCTATAGAACGAAACAATTTAAATTATTATTATTATTATTAAGCTTATATTACTCATAGACTAAGTGACACCCACTCCAGAGGTCAGGCGTGGTAGTTTACAGTTTGACGCCGTTCGGCTATCGTGCCCAGTGCCCATACAGTGATTCAGTAAATGGATGTATTGACTTGTCTACGTCAGTTCAACGTTAGAAAAGCTTGATCGATCACTTAACATACCGGTCTATACGCCTTCATCGTATCGGCTTTCCACAAAATCGACATGTTTTTCTTTCTTTCTTTCTTTCTTTTGTTTTTTCTAAAAGAATCGAAAATTTACAAAATTTTAGGTCTGAACATTTTGTTTGTAGGGTCTGTAGGCACATTTTTCACTGGCTAACCATACTGGCCTATAGGTGCGAAGCAGCTAAACTCCTATCATGGGTCGCAATGTACTGCGTTGGAACTTACCTATAACTGGAACTCGAAACATTCGCACGTCGCGGAATAAAGCCGAAATGATCCTGGCCACAGCCATTGATGCTTAATACTTCCAGAAGTAACTAGATATGAAATTTATTTTTGAAGATACCTCACACGTCTGCTTGCGTAACTCTAGTGTAACGAGCAGGTAGAATACGCTAACTTATAGGCCCTATAAAGGTAACACAGACATGAGAATATAGCTCTTTTTCCACGTATAAGATTCAGGCGTTATCATAACTATTATAGCATTGCTTATTTTCAGACAGGGTCATTAAGAGATATTGATCTGAGTCTCCTGTCATAGCATTCTAATGTACATCGACACATGCAAGTTGCGTAAATTAGAGAAATGTAAGTTTTAAAAACATACATAAGTTACATGACGTTTTGATGGGATGTTGAACTTCTAGGCTCCTATAAATTGTTCCGCATTCTAATGTTATTATTATAGCAATTATAGACATATTTTACTAATGGGTTAGTAATTGAATGAATCTAAAAAGCTCTCCCCTCGTCTTGCTGATTGGAGTGGGTGGAAACAATTTAGGGGTAGTATTGCGCATATGACGCAACGATACTTTCTAGTGTTAACATATTCATCATACTTGCAAGATCGGCCAACTTTTACTATAAACGACGAGGTCGCGCGGCTGCGAGATTGAGCGCTCATCCCAGCATATCAGTAACAGTGTGTCAAACCACTCCAAGCTGTAGGCCGCAGCTCCTTGGCCTTAGGTAAACGTTTAATTATAAAAAAAATGGAGGATACAGATGGCAATGCTGTCGATAAGCTTTGTTACGCATTTCTCTAATAATATATAACTAATATCCTCTGAAAGTGTACAGAATAGAACAAAATACACGGATTCACAATATTTTATAAATAAAATATATTCATAGTGCACTGCGACACAATTTGTTGAATTTTAGCTATTTATCGAGGCGCGGAGTTGACTGCCCCGTTAATTTCAGTTTTGCAAATCGATAAATGGTCAACCTATCTCAGGAGGTGCTGGCTTGACAACACTGTTGATGCGTCAGCACAAGTCGATGGCAAGGGCGTTCATAAACTGTAGCACAACAGCCCTTATATTAATTCCCTATAATTAAGTTTTAGTAAGTTAAAAGCTTGATTAATATTATCGCAGGTGGATGGCGGCATGTACGGTTGCAGGGATGCAAACTTGCCCACCTGAACGTAGAGGCTTCTCTATTCGACAGGATAATCCGAACCTACTGCATCTCGTAGGAACTACTGAGCTGTTATATCTACAGACGATCAATAAATATGAATGCTGTGTATTTCAATAATTCACCGGCGGAAGTTGGACTCCAAATTGACCGGCTGTCTCTTGTTTACTAGTTTCCTTCTACTAAGTGTCTCTCTGTTTTTGATTAATGATTTGATTAGAACCTTCTTTTTTGATTGTGCACACTAAAAAACTATATTTTAGGCTGTTAAGGGTGGCTTGAGTTGCTTTTACATTTCAAGTCTATGGCTCGATGCCCAAAAATGACCCAGTGTCACGGCTCACACGGGTAGTTCAGAGAAGTCAGTGTTGGCCAAATGGGATTTTGAACTAGATGTTAGCGGTACATTCAGTATGCTAAAGTTTCCTGTTGGATTGTTTGACGGTAACTATACAAACATTGATCAACAACCATTTCAGCCGATAGTAGTACCATAACCCCTCAATAAACAAAAAGTATATCAGTGCTGGCTTGAATTCTATTGGCCATACGATTTCTTGCTTAATGTCTTCTATTCAAACGGTGCTATCTATGTACCCAAGAAATCAGGAAGCATAAGGGTGAAAATAGTTAATTTGGCTACATGTAAAATATTCCAGAATGGAACATATATTTGATACAGAAATCGTTTGCCTTTTGGCTTTCAGTGCGCGTTTTGGAGAAACTGACGGAATCCAGTACCGAACCTTGGCCTGTTTGCACCTGTGTTTGTATAAGTTATTCACGAAAGATTAATGGAACTCTGCCGGCACAATTTACTGTCGATTCCATAGTAAAAAAAAAAAAAAAAAAAAAACAGGTATGGTTGGGGTTGATTGTCAATGCATTTCTGGTAATATGGCCAGATGCAGCTCACTCCTGCGTAACAAGAAATAGCGATAATAGTAAACTATTTTCTTTTACAATCCTAAGGTTTATATGAGAGTTAGATTCGAATAATGCGAGTTGATAGAAAGGGGTAGAGCTATAATTAGAAGCCTAATTTTCTTTTATTAGACCTGTACTGTATTCCGATGGTACGAACTCTCTGCTTGAAGAAGTCAGTCGTCGAAACCACCGCGCCGATTGGTACCTAGGAGTTTTAGGGACTCAGACGTGAAAATAGGATAAAAACAAATATTTATTTCCACAAATTTCGCCCACATAGAGTTATTTAGATAGATAGATAGAGGCTAATTTGGGCCCCACCATAAATTCGTGCGACACCATATGTTTGCTTGAATAGAGGAAGTATAAGTTCGTAATTTGAACATACGCATACGAGCAATTAATTCGTTTACTTACCAAAGCGATGCTCATACTTGTGGAATGAGAATACTGATGTCCGTAAATACGGTGGAGCTATCTATGGACCAATCGGATCATTAATTTTGATAATTTTATTGACAAGTGGCCATAGGCCAAATCAGTGGCCGTACCCTAGCTAGGAACGTCATAGCACACTCTCTATTCCCTCGTAAAACACTTCATATATATATATATATATATATATATATATATATATATATATATATATATATATAGTAGGGATGGATGGTTGTTTAAAAATGGCAGTGACTGAGTTTTGAAAAGGGTACTTTTAAGGATGGATTAGAATAAAATCGAAGGCTTAAAGCAGCACAAGTATCTAACCAAATAGCAATGAAAAGCATTGTGTAGATCTATAAGCTACTCTTCATGCTCTTTATGCCTTGCGCGAGATAGACTCATCATTTCAAAACTACATAGCTTGATATCCACGTGCCCAGATTTTACCTCTTAGTAAAATTATGTGACTGCCAGCCCTTGATAAAAAAAACCTGTGGCTATCGAGTCACCAAACCAGTAGCCTCCAATGCTACCACTTCACGGCCTCGAAGATATAAGAACATCACGAGAAATTCGACTGAGACAAGAAAAAGGGCAGTAAGAGTTGTATGGTTATTGCGAACGACAGTACATAGAAGAAACTAGCGCAAAAGCAACGATTTTAACTGTACAATAAAACACAGAGTAAAAAACTGATAAAAGTTGCTATTTCGTGTTCCGCCAACAGCACGTACCTATGGCATATCTACATAAATAAAGAAAATGGTTCATCGAAATCTACTTGATACATCACCATATAGTACCACCGTACCTAAAAAAGACGAGACGATCAATGATTATGGGACAACGTATAGTATTCGATATCTTCACGTGTGTTTTTATTAATTTTCCTTTTTTAAGACTCACTTATTGAGTGCGTGCAATAATCTCATACGCCCATTTAGGCGTTTTTCTTTCAGCCTCTTTCTACGTTGTGCTAGTAGGTGCACCTAGGCAATATCTATAACCTAGAAGAATGCGTGTCAGGCCACCGATCCGGTTTTTCCGCTAACGTCGTGTCGACAAACTGAAATCGCTCGTTTATGTGTCATAGATTTTGTCAGCCAAATAAACCAGACCCAACTCCAACATCGTGGCTGGACTGAGTAAATTACGTCATACGTATGTATATGTTCATATGGTTGATTCGCGCATTCAGTATTATGGCAATGGTACGTTTTAGGCGTTGTCATTCTTATTACTATTACTATGATTATTGGTCTTCCTCTCACTAGCGTTATTAATATTACTGAAGTTCTATTATGTCGCATTTGTTAGCTACAAGAATATTTGTTGCTGCTTGTAGAAATAATTTGGCTTTCTTTCATGTAGATTAGAAGTTTTTTCTTCGATCACCCACTTAATAATCTGCTCCGTCTATTTAAGCTATCGGAATAGCTTGTTTTTGTCGTTCGTCGCCTATTTGTCATTGAATGATCTGATTGACTGACCCCTTTGATACGATGTTACATACTGGTATATATATTATATTACAGTCAAGATATTATACTCAGTACATATATTAATGCTAGATTACTATTTGGATCGACCTCTGGACAGAAATTGATCTGACCGAATAGCCGGCCCCATCTCAGACTCACAATTATATTAGACGACATATCCGAATCAACGGTGAGCTCCCATTGCCCACGAAGCTACACACTCGACCTCAGAATCGGTGCTACGCCGTTTGTTGCCCTACACGCTCAGCATCAGCGGTCTAGACAACTTTCTCGACATTTTAAATATCAAAATGAGTAATTATTTCGGTATACGTGTTACCTCATTCATCTTCTTCTACAGACAACAAAGCCATTTTCGAAGTAAGCCTAACTCACATCTGCCGGCTTTGTATTATCGGACTACTATGCTCAATTATTTGAAGATTTTTCTCACTTTTCCTTTACTACCTTTTTGAAGAACCGACGGCCACTAATAAAGGTTTACCTATATACACACCCATTTAGATTTCTTAGATTATCTTATCTTTATTATTATTATTATCTTTTTTTTATTATTATTATTATATCTTAGATTAATTCAGATTGAATTAAGGCACACGTGACCACAATTGCTAGATGATAAGAAGTTTGAGATTATAAATTTTTGGGGTCCAAATGTGTTCTATATATATATATATATATTCGTATATATATTAAGTACTTGACAATGTATCGAGTAACTGCCGCTACATTAGTCTGTCGTCTCACAAGGGAGCAGTGGCAGACGTTAACCTGGTTATTTAGGATTCTCTAATTCCGTTGTATAGCTTGTCTTCTTTAACATTTCCAATAATTCAGGTTCGCTGTGGTTAAACCGTCAAGATTAAAGGTATCCTTAGCAGGAAGCTGGACATCTTTGGGTCGAAGCATATCGACGGTCGGCCACTTGCTTGCCCCTAAACCCGACGTCTGGATAGCCAATGGACAATTCTACTGCGATGTTGGAGTGGGCTTTTTCTTCCTCTCTATAAAGCTTTACTGATATCTTGCTGCACAATTAGATAGTCGAGTATGAGTTTCCGTATGCTCTGGCATTGAACGTTTGTTGAACTTCATTAATTTGAATTGTTCCCAAATGTTTCCGGCTGGACGGTTCTTTCCGGTAATTCGCTTCCGTAATCTACACATGGGGCGGTATGACGATTGACGAGAATGAGCTAATTCTGCTTGTTGCGATCAAGACTGTTGTTTCTCAACACGCTCGAGAAATTTCCTGGAAACGTGGACAAAGATGTCAATTTAAGGCACGAACTCAATTTCAGGAACCTTATCGCATAATAAATAATAAGCAGAATAAAATAGAAACACATGCGGTATGTTTATGCAATCCTCTGAAACATTCCCACCAACACTTAGCACAGCTACAGCAAGTAAGATATAGAAATTATCTTGTGATGCGTAAATACATCGGTATATTTCTATCAGAAGCAAACAGTCAAACTGAGATAAGATGGGCTAAGCAGCAGACCTGCGCGACGCTTCGACGAGATCCAGTTTTCTCTGGTGCACACGACGATATCTAATGGCGGCACTGGCAGTCACTAATGGCTCGCGCATTCCCTCGGCCCGCTGACCCATAATCGGCTGCACTTTGTCTTCGTCCATAGGTACAAGCAGTCCACGCGTCTCTTGATTTTGACCTGCGACCTGGCCGCCTGGGCTTAATGTGGGCTGATATGAAGAAGACTCGAGACAGGTCCAGAGTTGTTTGCAGTCGAACGGCAGAGGCCGGGGTCGGTCGAGATCGCCGCGTTGGGTCCCAACGCCCGACGACATTTTAAAGCCCTGATTCGCTGTCATGTCTCCTTCACTGTTGGCATGAAGCTGCAAGTACAAACGTAAATGATGAACGTCTAATAATGAAACACAGCAACTTTGAGGGTTGAAGATTTTTTTGCCCTAGCCAGCGGGAAGATTTGCAATATAAAGGGATTTATTGCATTTGTAAGAATGACTCCCACATTTGGGGCGGCGTCTGAACTCTTCACCATTTTCTCACAGGCAGAAGTGTAAGCCCATAATATAAGCCTAAGGCTGCGCCTTTAGAACGCCTCCTATTGATATGTGTCCGTTACATTTTGACATCCTGATTATTTTTGCTCGTACCGACACTCCAGTCAGATTTAATAGGGTTAATTAATACCAAAAATGCTTACGAACAAAATTACCGATGCATCTTCGTACTTGTAAATCTACAGACCTGAAAAAATTAAGAACTCAATCCCATTCAACTAAAGCTGCTGCTGAATAACATAATACATTTACGCCTTTCTCTAACAACTACTTTTCTATTAACATTCGAATAAAATTCTATGGCCCATTCCGTTATCTAGTATTTTAGTTTTATTCAGAGTTGTCTGTTGCTGACGTACAATTGGAACGAGCCGATGGAGGGGTATCGGACGTTGCTGGAACTTCTGCGGTGTTTGTGGCAGGTGCTGCTGCTGCGGTCGCAGCAGAGTTCGCTGAATTCTCTGCGTCCGCTGAGGGGAACGCAATGGTTGGCCCACACTGAGTTCCAGTGGATGGCGGCGCTTTTGCTGTTGACCAGTGGCTGATCGGGAAGAGCGCCGTGTTGGGCTCGAAAACGGATACTCACGAACACCTTCAGCCACTTCAGCAACGACTGAAGTGGTCGATGCCATCTCCCGTGACGAACCAACCTGTCCAATGAACAGGGTGAGGTTTTCATGAAATAAATCGCAAAAACTGAGGGAGAACCTCGCCAACTGAGGCTGTAACAGGAAGTGAGTTTTTTGTGCATTTTTTTCTGATGGCAATAATACATACAAAGAAATTTATGTGAAAGACATCGTACAACAGTATAAGCCTAAACTAGAAATATACGGATATGTAATCCTCACAAAATTGCTGTCCTGATGCACTTATCAAGTAGTGCTATTGACGAGGGGAAGCTGATTTCGATTCATGAAAAACCCCACTGCAATGATTCGAAGAGTCATTAAATCACTATGCATCAAATGTTCGATGCTTTTAAATCGTATGCTATAGCAAATGGGTAGTTATGAATTAATCTGGGGTTCCGCCACGAGTTGACGTGGGCCTGCCAAATCTATTCAGAAGAGAATATTACTCATCCTAGCGTTTAGATAGCAAAAAACCTTTTAGGTGTATATAGCTTTATGAAGAATAGACCATCTGGTGTAAGATTAACACACAGGGTGGTACAATTATGTCAGGCGGGCAAATGGGGGCAGTGTGATTTGTAGTTTACTGTGGTTAACAACGCCAAAATCCACTAATTGTTAGATATGTACTGTCAATTTTGTTCGTTCTCCACTAACAGCATCTCTTTAATGAGTAGAAACCTATGCCGTCAACAAGTCCACTGATTAAATATTATGACTGAGCTTTTTTTTTTTTCTAAAAAGAAACAAGAAAATCTAAGTTGACTCTCAACTTGAGTTCGTTACACTAGAATGTCCTCGGTTTTACCCCCCGCTTTGTTTTTTGTTGGATGGCACATGTTTGCATAAATTATAGCATCTGGGTCTCACAACAATTTCTTAATAGTTTCTCATTAGAAACAGCATCTTCATCACTCCATGACTTGGTAATATGTGTAGCTAAACCGATCACCCGTATGGTGGTTCAAAATGCCAACACAAAACTAATAGTATTTCATAGTGAGTTTCATGTTAATAAATATAGCGTATTATTTCAATAAGTTTTATGATATCTTTTTGCACTTCCTGGCGAAATTTTTAAATAAACAAGAGTATTCATGTAGTTCGTACTGCTTCTAGATTGCGTTTATAATGTTGAAATTTGGCTAGTGAGAGTCTATTTTAATCTACATGAAATAAATATCGTTAACAATAATTAAAACGTATCGGGGGCTACTTTTGCCAAAAAAACATGTATTAAGTTGGGGCAAAACGAGCTAAGTAAAAATGTAGATTTTTTCGACCGTAAAACACAACATTTGCCTAGAGACTTACGATCTTTGATTGAGGTATTGTGAGTAAGTTCAACTAGAAACTGATGTGTTTTCAAAATAATTAAAGGGTTTAGACTGGCTTCAATTCGTTTTTATGCTCTATTGTCATTTCCCTATGCTGTTAGTTATTGAAACAAACTTGTCCGAAAATGAAGTTAACGCCATGACATTTTAAGTTACGTAACTCGTTACAAACTGAACACATCAAAAATGTTTAGCAACCATGGAACTGTGTGACTTTCGAGCGGGGTAAAACATTGTAGAGAGGCGTCCTATTTTAACCGCTTCATACAGTGCCATGTCGGATCGCGCAGCTTCTACAAGCGTCTTAGGTTTGTATGACCTCCCCGTGCATTCTGAATGTACATCAACATCGTACTAGCACGAAAAAATAAAAAAAAAAGATATCACACTATGGAAATACGTATCCGCCTTGTGTGGTTAATTACTGTCAACCAACTACTCCCTTAGTGACAATAAGTAACGGGCAATGTTAACTCGAGGAAGTTAACGTTTTAATAATGTTACCCAGAATAATACTAGCGCTATAAAAGCTTACCGATATCGAGCTGACATGGCGCGCCATTCCGACCGTGTCAACTGGCGAAGTTGAAGCCTGAGGTGCTGGTCGAAGTAGGTTTGAATGAGACACTTCAAGCGATACGGACGGCAGCCAACTGAAGTAACGAGAGCCATCAAACGTGAACAGATGATGATTAGTCGTGGCGGCCTGCTGCTGCTGAGGTTCTACGGTTGTCGTTCGAGACTCCACAACATCTGATTCTCGAAAATGTTGGGACGAGCCTACTGTCGCACTGTCGGCAACGGAAAGATGCTGCGTATGGCTTCTGGCTGGTAAGGGCATTGTAGGCCTCAGCGAGGCTTCAGCTTCGACCCTCAGCGAACTCAGCGTAAGAGCACCAAATAGTGAACTCCGGTCAGAGAAAGCCGATGATGAGGGACTATCAGACGACTGTAGAGTCAGACGGCACGTCGGACACGATGTGTCCTGCTCCAGCCACGAACGAAGGCACGCACTGTAGAGGGCATCGGTGATTGGACACGGTAGAAATGGCGATAAAAAAGAAATCACACAGAAATAATAGCAAAACACGGCAAAGGTGGGAGACAACGTGAACACGATCGTTATGGCTAAGCTGACCTGACTACCTAGCTTTTTGAAGACGCTTCAGAGCTCGCTTTAACCAGCGCCAATTTACTTTCCTTCGCCTCATCACAGATCCAGTTTACAATATTTGCGTGTTTTTTGGTTAACCTGTTCTATGCAAAGCTACGTGTTGAAGTAGAGTCAATCTAGTACTTTCCAAAAACGGCATATTATTGTACTGGCGATAGACAATAATCGATCAACACATTTATCCATAGAATTTGATAAGGTAAAATTATATTAACATAGTAACATCCGATTATTATAACCAGTGTTTTTTACATAGTAACACGTACAGTTACAGCCAAAGAAACAAATATAGAAGGGTAACAGCGACAAAAACAGGACGAACGCTCGGATACAATAACATCTATACAAGAAGACATCGAGGTAGGTCAGCTATTAATTGCTGCGAAACTACACTTGGGTAATTAAAATGATGGCAAAAAGGAAACCACCAGGCCCAGCAGGTATTATTTTGTATTGAAAAGTTCCTATTTAAACAATAGTGTTAATGGTTGTTAATTGACCATTTAATATTACTATCTTGCTCGCACCTATCCCTGCCTCAAACATACCACCTATAATAATGGGAACAAATGGGTTATTCATTGATCAGACCATCGGAACCGTTGTAGAGATGTAAACAGGCACTTCAAAGTAAAACATAGCAATTCTACCATTTGTCTTGGCCAGATAAGCATAGGCTGAAATGGAAAAAAATCTTAGAGGATTTACTAGGCAAAATAGGTGTTGTCATATGAAGAACATTCGACGGGGGTCGCCATAACCGTTAATCCTTTGACGGCCTGATATCGTTGCTCTGTTCAAAAATCAAAATGTATTCCGCTTCCACCTAAAACTGCCAATGACACCGGTATCTGTAAACCTACAGGTTCTTTAAAAATACTAAACGAAGCGATAGCGCTTGACGTATTTCACGCTAAAAAAGCATTAAAATTGAAAAGGGTATTTTGGCTTATTTTTCTATACTATTTCACTATTTATATAGCTATGGTCAAAGAAGGTTGGACTAACCACTCGCATCGAACGTGTCTTTGATTTCTGAAGATGTTTTTGAAATGCGCCAATTCGTGTTGAGGACCCAATTTGAACGGATACGATTCGTGTCTCTCGAAATTCGTTCCTATTAAGTCAAGTATGGGGTAACTAAACGGAAAAAGTGGCTCACACGCCCGAAAATGCTATATAAAAAAAAAAAAATAATAATACTTATATAGAATAACATAGTAAATGGTTGTTGGCGTTGTTGAAAAGACATAAACGATTGTGATGAAACGCGCAGCGGGCCCTGCTAACCTCCACTCGAAGGCCGCTGTTTAAAACATCGATTGGTAAGTACTCTTAACAGTTACCTATTGTTGCCATCATGAATCACCCACTTGTGGAACAGATGACCGCAGGGAAGTCTCCGTGCTGAAAGCATTAACTCCCAACAGATGGCGCAGTTGTCGGCAGCTGCGCGGAGTTCCGACGCTGCCGCCATAGGATAGCTGACCATCATGTGACGAAGGACTCGCAGGTAGTTTCGGTGCTTCAGGACCCGCCGTCGGATTTCGTTGAATGCCCAACGAAGCTGCATTGAGATCACTAAACTAGCCATTGACAACATTGTATTGGTCCACACCTAAGCGAAAGGGAATTGTACAAAAATGTCACGACCGTCGGGCAATATTCATGTGCCAACAGCGTTCATCATAATATGGGCATGCATAGTGTATAATGAAATGAGACAAACGTTCTCTGGCAGTTTGAGGATTAGCATTTTCCGTTTTGTCAAATAGCAAAAAAGAAAACTCAAGTGGATATTACCACGCTGTCAAGTGAGCTAGCTCTTCTCTGCTGTCAAAAAATTTGCGCCGCCATGTTGTTTTTTTGCGCATTCGATCCGATTTAACATATGTGGAAATATGACAATACCAATATATTCCACTCGAATTTCATCGGGTCGTACTCGTACGTAAACGTCTCGTACTAACCAGCATATGCAAATGGTGAAGAAAGTCGACAGCAAGTGTGGCTAATTCGAAGACGAGTTCCGTATAGTAAACGGGGCATGCACCAAAACCAGCTCCACCTGCAACGCCAGCCTTGTCACCTTTGCCGCTTTCCACTTCGTGAGGTATTGCTCCAGCCCCTGCTGACGCGTGAGGTACGTAAACGTATCGCGCCAAAACGTAACCAGCGTTTAAAGCCACAAGCGCCACCTCGGCTAGCATCAATGCGAACGTGTGAACTCCGTAGCGAATTCCGCACAACATGCACACGCCAAAGCATAACGCGCATACCGCCTGTATACAGCTAAGTAGCCCGACGAGGCGGACGTGCGCCCCAACAGGAACTGACGGCGAAAAAGATAACTGGAATAGAAAGACAAATGTTAGATTATAATTGCTTAACGGAACATCTTACCACTACAACGCTTTCGCCTGCCTCAGAGAGTCAGGATGTGACTTCCCTACATGAACATCGATGAACTCCTGCCACGCTCTAGCTTTAGTTAATGCTCCCTATGTAGGGAATCATATGCATTACACTTAAGTAGGTATTAGATCTAAATGAGGTTCATGGAAAGGACTGCCAGTCCAAGCTGCCCTAGGGATTCTTGCCCCTTACAAGATAGATATATGTACCCGCTTACGAGATCAGGCGACGATGTAAGATAACTTGGTACTTGTTAGCTAACGTATGACTTAGTCGCTAGCCGTCAAGTCGATCATGGGGCACTTTCGCAATTTCAACCCTCCTGCGACTTGCAATAGGTGCAATCTAACGAATGAACGATAAGTTTAATCATGGTGAACTGGGTATGGGTAATGTGTTAATTTTTTTGCCGAACAGTTAACCGTGGTTTACTCCAGGAATGCTTTCGAATTCATATTTGATTCGTATGTCCTGTGTAATATATATGGATGTAATGCCAAAAGACATGTGGCCGTGCACGGAAGGCCTGCGTTTCAAATGTTCGTTTTGCCTTTAACGCTAATCCTATCTATCCACCGCCACCGTGCTTGCTTTCGGTCCAAATTATATGCTGATGTAGCAACAGAGTGATCTTTGATCCGTTCCTTACTTCATCTTAATATCCTGATAGCAATAAGCCTCCCCCGGAACCTTACCGCGTCTGCACAGGGTTTAATCATATGATGCGTGTCTGTTACGTTACCTCGATCTGCGCGGACCAGACGAATCATTCGCATAGTGGCATGGCTGGATGTCCTATGATTTTTAACTGACTTTCATTCAACTTGCCACGAAGAAAATGCGTTCCTATTATAATATTGATTTGTTTGGATTTTCTTTTCTAGATAAGAATGGCTATTGACTCAATACCGAAGGATGTCTGCTTTCCAGTGTGTTTGATTCAGATTAACATTTTAGCCTGTGTAAATGACGACAGAATAATACAAGAACATATAGAATATACAATAGGTGTACCCTTAGTGAACAAATACGCGACCCTGCATTCATACACACAATAATAATGGTAGCAGACGGTTAAAAGCATTTTCGATAAAATTTTACCTGAATGTTATTTTTCTTATGGGACGGACAATGCCAAACGGTCCTAATTATATAGCGCTTGTAAAAAATTACGTTGCACGCATTGCGTAGAATGGAATTTTAGTTGATCTGTGGACGGACAAAATGGCAGTACTCTTGAGTTCAATTGAACCAACATTAATTAGGATAGTCATTTCGGCAGAGACAGTTCTATTAATCTATCCCTTTGTAAAACATAGAGGATACACGTATTCAATACTTCTAGCACAAACAGCTTAAGTATATGAACAGAAGATAATTAGCGCGCATCAGTACTCATTAATTCTAGGGTTGAAACCTAGCTCAGGACGAGCAAACTAAATATTTCCTAATCGCGTAACGACTGATCGTCGTCCACCCTTCATACTTTGGCATCTAGCCTAGTGTTAAGTCAAAAAGCAAAACGACATATATTGTTAGGTGCATGCATTCTCCGGTAGACCTCCGTAGTACCCCAAGAAAACTTACATATTGAAAGCGGTCCTTGCTTAGCGTTGTCATGAGATGCAGAAATCCCAGTAAAGAGAACCACACCACCCACGCGATAACCTGTTCGACGTGCTGCACGTTCAGGACCCCGAAGATAAAGATGAATTTGTAAAAGACAAAATTCCAAAACTTGTCTTTCAGATGCTGCTCCTCGGAGATCCGTAGCTGGCCAAATACCACTAAATGAATAAACTTCCCCAGCAATCCTAATATGCAGTACGCCATGTTAACTACCGTCTGAAAAGAGAAAACGGTATATAAAAGAAAAAGATATATAAAAAGTATACATAATGAAAACAAGGCACGTAAAAAGTACTGTTTAGTCGGGATGATCAAGTCCAGTGAAGCCAGTAACTAATTGGCCAATAGCCAATTACGTATAATCTAAAGCACAATTATGCTGTAATCGTACGTAAGCGATTTTCAACAGCTGCCGGGTGGTTTTCTTTTTTGCTAACGCAGGGGTAAACAATTATTATATACTATATAAAGGGTACGGCATCTAAACTGGGACCCAGTTCGGTGGGTTGTTTGTAGTAACGAGCATGCGTTCATCAGCTATTCCTGGTACCAGATAAAAGCCAGTTCCCTTCGCAACAACGTCACTGTGGCAAAAAAAAAACAAATATTGATGCTCGGAATCTACGCAAAAATCAGCTCGTTTTTGTTTTTTTGCACGCGCTGGACGGACCACCGCCGAGATTATGAGATGAACCCCAAATCCGCAGTATACGCGTCGCAAATGAGCATACCGCTGCAGAAGCAGACTCTGCTACAGGATAAGGAACAGTGTAAAGTACAAAATTAAGTGCTACAGTAAATAAAGTTTATCTGGGAATAGTGTGTGAGATACCGCGGATTGTGGCATACATTCTTTGTTGTTAAGTCCAAAGAAATAATACCTAAGGACAAAAAGTAGAACATCTGACCGGTGTTGTTTATGAGTCAACTTTCCTGAATAGAAGCAGCAAGTCACTTTTGCTTTTTATTTTGTATCTTAGATGTAAGAATAAGTTCCAGAAAAGCTAGTAGGCCTGCTCATTATCTAGAGAATGTGCCTATTTTGAGAAGGAGCAAATTGTCGCCACTTGAAAATGTTTTGGATACATTCCATACTCAGAGTGGTGTACCCTCAAGAAGAAACGTTATATAACCATACGTCTTACAGAAAACCAAACGCATTTTTAAAAAACCTTCATCCGCAAATTTTATCAATTGTTATGCAATCGTGGCTAGCTGAATTTCCTGGTAATTATAGAGCTTCCGACAAGATACTGCATTAGCACATATGGGCCGATTACTGCAGAACTGGTTTCCTGTTTTTGGATAAACACCTATGGTGGCTAAAAATCCCAGATCTGAATTCATCGGAGTACTGTGTACGGAGCTCTATTGGGCGGAGGCTCAACAAGCTTCGACATGAGAACGTTGACACACTCACTCGTGCTTTTATCAAGATACCGTTGTCACAATTATAAACAAGATATCTGGGGTGTGGGAACTCGTCATGGCTTTAATCGCGGTTAGTGATACGTGTATAGTATTAATCATGACTACTAGGATCGGCATTTGGAGTGTCCAAACAGAATACGTTGAGATATCTGTTTTTATTTAGATACAATCTTTAACAACACAACGCAAAAGAGAAAGGCCCAGTTGACAAAAGTTACGATATAACAATGAGTTTTAGGTTGTGCTCAATACAGAAGATTGTCGAGTTCGTAGTACCATTCCAGCCGTTTTTTCATACCCACGTTACGTGCCTTGTTTTATGAACAATTAACACTCGCCTGATAAATAAGCGTCTTTGACGCCTGGAGTGCTTCTGTTCCTAGGACCTGTGCTAGCTAGAAACAGAGTACCTCATCAAATGTAAATTATATCTTAACTTTTTCGACTATTCATGATTAATCAATACACGTCGTTCTGCTACAACCTGTTATTTGTTATTACTGTCAACAAGAGCACGGATTCTATAAATTTACTGCTATATGAAAGATACGATTCAATCGTTGTAAGAAAAACAGAAAGTAATAACACATTCGGCAGTTTGTGCAATTAATTGGATTGACTAGCGTTAGGACGCCTCCATTCGATTAAGACGTTTGTCCTTTAACGCCTAAGGTACAAAGGTTCACCTGCCTATAAAACGATCCTTTTGTTTCGATTAGCCGGCTGAGCTGTCTGAAAAAACTTTAACCAATCAACATCGAAAACTGATAGATTTGTCTTCTGATTCCCCTGTGCAACCTTCTTTAATAAGAACAATGATCAGATGAATGGAGTGAAGTTAGAAGCGTGAACAAGGCAGTCACTGGAAGAAGACATCGAACAGCATTTGTGTTATTTTCGATGTAGGTTGTTAAAAAATAAATTCACTGCTGTCAGATCCTTCGTGTCACGTATTTCTGGTAGATCGGGCAGGTTACATCTCGCCTTTAGCATTCAAATGGGATTCTATTGATTGAAGTTAAACGTAAAATGGGTTCAAGTTAGAGGACAACGAGACGCCATCGATTGCGTAGTTGGCCCGTACGACCAATTGCAAATGCGAAACTGTGCCCTACTGATTGGATGCTGTTCAGCCCTTGGGACAATGGAAAGCATGAGAAGTAACTGCTGCACCCCCGGTGTACACAATGGCAAGGCCGTGTGGTAACAATGATATGCCTTTACTTTGCATTCAAAACGCATGTTGATCCCAGCCAGTCAATATTATTCGGTATTATTCATACTGTATGTATTACGTAGATACAGTACACAGCAGTTCCATCTAAAAAAAAATGAGTATACGGAAACTGAGCGTAGTTATGATGCCACTATTTATAGATTTTGATTCTTACAGGGTTTCTATTGTTCAATCAGAAAACCTTGCGTGTATTATCGTACAATCCAGATGTTACTTCGTAGTAACATTCATATGGGCTATACTAAGTATCATCGTCTAATCAAGCCCAGATATTTATACTGCTTTATCGTATAGCGTTCCTGTTTGAGGAAGTACATTGACGTTTAACAGTGATTCACATATTGGTTAGGGATGATCAAGCTGGTCAGGCGTCGATTGCGTTGACGCCGATACGTAAACCCTTTAATACCGCTGATACTAGCCAGAAGTGGTTTGTAAATCAGGATCGTTAGATATGGTACAGTGGCAACGAGTTCGCTTTCTAGACTGAGGGTCGTGCAGTGATCTGAGTCCTAAACGAGGCTTGAAAAGGTAGATCTTTTTATGGTCGGAGAAGTCAGCTGTCTGAAGCAATGCTTTAATTAAGGTAGTACCTGGACCGCTAATTTGCATATGATAGAGTATCGCTCACTCGCTCACGGAACTACGAGAAATATACACTTACATGGTGGGGCTGTAAGCGCAATGGAGGTTGCCTACACGGGGCGTGCCAACATATTTACATAGAAGCTTAACCTTGCGTTGAAATACTACTGTATTTGTATAGCGCGTATTATATAATTTATTATTGTTAGTCACTATTAGATAAATAGGAACTTAGCAAAGGGTAATTCCACTAAGTTCGACCGAAGTTAACTTGTGGTGCTGGAACTAGTTAGAGTTCACGGGGAATTACGTGAGGACTATTTTAATCGAACTATTTTAATATAATGTATATATATAAAATATCGAGTGGCTACGAAGCTAACAAATCAATATCTGAATGAGATCAGCAGTACGTGCTAAAGAAAAAGAAAAACTACAAAATACCTTTATGAAAAGTTCGAAGGACTACGATATCATGGCGAACTTATGTGTTACATAAGATATAAATTATACATCTAGGTCTATACGATTCTTTAAAGATAAAAAAAATAGATACAGATAAAGCAAAATCATTACTCGCCCAAAACCTGATACGCTATTTAATATCTGCTGCGTGAACACCGAACATTACATTTTATCTCTTGGTCAACAATTCGTCGCAATGGCAATATTTACCGGAAAGGCCACACCGTGCGCAGTTTTGGCATTGGCACCACGCCATTCGACCAATAGATCTGGCATGAGATGTCCTACCGCTGTTTTTCTCCTTTCAACGGCAGCAATAGCCGCTGCAGTAAACCATAGCAGAACTTCCCGTCGAATTCGTGCTTCTTTTTTATTTCCCCCCTAAGCACGCCTCGTACATGTAACTTACGCTGGGTAACTTTATCAGTCTTCTTTTTCTTATATAATATCAGCTCACGCATGTCTTAAAGTATTGTGCCCCAATTCCCCTCTCGCCCTCCGTTCCATCGACTCGACACGGCCAGTAAAAGTGTTTTCAAACTTATTACGATAAAAATATCATTCATGACAGTAATGCGCGTCCAGTGACCCGCACCCATATCGTCTGCCGAGCAACCCCATTGTTAAGATCGTGACGTAACTTACTGAAAAAGCTCTTATAAAAGCAATGGTAGTTCTGCCGCCGAAGATGAATGCTGCCTGCGTTGTTAGCACAAGTTAGCAAAAAAAAAAAAACACGACGAAAGAATCGAATAGAGCCGTTTATATGTGCGCCAGCCTGCATGCTCATCCACAAATCCATTGAAGTAGCTAGCATCAACTATGGCGATCGGTAATTGATTCAGCGTCGGCTGTAAAACAAGCTGCGACCACTGCTCGCTTTCTCTTTTCTCAGTCAGTTACTCAGCTCCATATCTTGATACTTAATGATGATGAAGCAAAATGCCGATAATGGTGATAACATGGGAGCAATGCACAACTTCGCGGGCGACGATGAACAGCTTGGTTGCCTTCAGCGCCATTCGTAAACTTACCGCTGCCCGACCACCATGCTCGGCTCTGAGCAATCAACAATAACTTAAGTCATATTTAAGGGCTTCCTTCCGGCTGTGGGCTATCGTAGTTTCCTTGCTGTTGCTGCTGCACTTCAGTTCCGAATAACGTTGCTCTTCCGACGGAAAAAAATGAACGAAATAACTTGTGCCTCGCCGCCGCGAAGCAAAGAACTTTGCTTGAACAGGCACGATTGCCAACAGTCGAATGCATCACTGCCGTTGAAGAGGATCGCTATTTGTAGCTGAAAGGGGATACACTAAACCTTCTAGTCACCCTTCAGTTTCGGTGTTCTTCCTTTTTGAAGCATGGTTCACCCGTGCCGTCATAAACACCAACGTGGGCGTACTTTTGCACTCGTCTTGTGTTATGACTCTTAACGCTGCTGTTGTAATGTTGGTTACAGCATAGTGCGAACGATAGCTTATAGTCCGACCACGAGGCA